TGACCCCAGTACGGGCTAGGGGGGAGAAATGGTTTCCTCTCCCCTGATCTCTCCAGACTCGCGTTATTAAAACATGTTCCTCTCTTCCGCCCAGATGAGTGGAGGCGTGCTGCTGACCCACTCAACATGTGTGACTGACTGACGCTGTGGAGGGAGCACCACCACTTTCAGCTCCTGGGTCTGCAGTTCAACAGCTATGGAACACACTGCTGGAATGGATCATGAGGAAATTAGAATCCTATTATAAAATGTTTTCAGATGTTGAAAGTCGAGATGATAATGGAGGGATAGCCAACAAATAATGAGATTAAAATAAAAATCATGGTTTATCCTCACAACTGCTGTAGCTTTATGAATGTGGTGGGAGGTATAGCAGAAATAATGTAGGGAATACTAACCATATTCACATAAATAATGCCACAGTGAATTTTAAATACAAATATGAAGAAAATGAAAATGAAAGAAAGAAAGAAAGAAAGAAAGAAAGAAAGAAAGAAAGAAAGAAAGAAAGAAAGAAAGAAAGAAAGAAAGAAAGAAAGAAAGAAAGAAAGAAAGAAAGAAAGAAAGAAAGAAAGAAAGAAGCAGGTTAGACAGCGTTGAAAGGCAGAGGCAGATAAAGGGAGTGTTCATATGGTAACTACTCCAGAGAGAGGTGGTCAGCTCTGGGCATGACTGAGTGTTCTGCCACCTCATCACTCAGACCCTGACTGGACGACCACCAAACCCTCGCCGTCTCCAGCCCCGTTCCCATAGCAGCCAGGTTAAGACTCAGGGTCTCCTCGGACCAATCCGCAATATCTTACTCAGGTAGTTACAGGCTTATTCAGCTAGAGTGCTGGATGCAGATTTAACCTAACACATGGCCCACTGAAAGAATGACTGGTGGACTCACTCACTGACTGACTAACTAACTGACTGACTCACTGACCAATTGTTAACTTACTGTTTATTTGTCCTTTTGTTTCAATCCGTTCGGAAAGTTGAACACAATCCGTTCGGAAAGTCCTCTAGTTCAGCAGAATGACTTGTGGACCGACTCACTTACTGACTAATTAACTGACTCACTGAATAATTGTTAATTTACTGTTTACTGTCTACTTATAGCAGGTGTTACTCATACCTCATCAGAACAACTTCTCAGACTTATTTGCAGTTGTTTGCGGTTGCGAGGCAAAAGCCTCCCAACGGAGGCCAAAGTAATACCACACTGACACTGTAATACAAAAAGTCATTTAAATCTATGTGAAAGATATGGGTCATGTTCTGTTTGAACTTGGACATTATAGATAATGAATTATTTGGAGTAGGACACCTCCATGCTGTGGTATGGCACTCATGTGATGGCGATGCTGTATTGATGGGCAGTTGGGATCAGCGGTCTGTCCGTGTCGGACGGTTTCCACTAGCTTCCACAGCCACAAAGTCAGATTCCACAGCCACAAAGTAAAATTGGCTACAGAAATTAGCTTTTTGGTCTTAATTGAAAGTTAGGGTTAGGCATAAGGTCAGCAGTGTGGTTAAGGTTAGGGTAAAAAAAAATATGTAAGAAGAGAAATTGTACAAATTGTTTGGTTTATGACTTTGAGTGTGTAGAAGCTAGTGACAACCGTGTTGGATCCAGTCCTAACCTTAACCATTATGAGCTAAACAACAGAACAGGTGCTAGGGCTGTAATCTACTGACAGGCTTGAATAGGGGGCTTTGGATTCACATGGATGTCATATGTGGCTACTGCCAAGAGTTTTGGGAAAGGTAAGACTGCCACCCAGTGTACTGTCTAAGACACTTTTTTCTCTCTCTCTCTTCAATCCATCAGTGGTCCATGGCTGACTATTTTGAAAAACACTAATATTCTCTATACAGACTCTTAAGACTTTTGTACATATAGGAGAGGTCCTCTGCCTGAATGCAGCAAATACAATAGATACATATCTGCTTTCTACCTGACCTGTGTGCTTAACCTACTTCTTGCTAGTCACTAACTGTAAGTCGCTCTGGATAAGAGCGTCTGCTAAATGACTAAAATGTAAAATGTAATTCCATACTCTCGTGCTGCTGATCCAGTTTCTGCAGTTTTGCCTGTGGCTATGAAACCCTGACCTGTTCACCGGACATGCTACCTTGTCCCCTCCCTCTCTACCACACCTGCTGTCTTGACCTCTGAATGCTCGGCTAGAAAAAGCCAACTAACATTTACTCCTGTGGTGCTGTCCAGTTGCACCCTCTACAACCACTGTGATTATTATTTGACCCTGCTGGTCATCTGTGAACATTTGAACATCTTGAAGAACAATCTGGCCTTAATGGTCATGTACTCTTATAATCTCCACCCGGCACAGCCAGAAGAGGACTGGCCACCCCTCAGAGCCTGGTTCCTCTCTAGGTTTCTTCCTAGGTTCCTGCCTTTTCTAGGGAGTTTTTTCTAGCCACCGTGCTTCTACATCTGCATTGCTTGCTGTTTCAGTTTTAGTCTGGGTTTCTGTATAAGCACTTTCTGACATCTGCTGATGTAAAAAGGGCTTTATAAATACATTTGATTGATTGATTTGATTATAATACTGTCTGTATAGTCTTGAAACAGGGCACATGAGATGTCAATGTCAATCCATAGAAGTCTATCCTGTTACACCCACATATGACTTCTACGGGTAAGCGCTTATTCTACATTTCTCTCTGTTTACTCATCTGAAAAGCCAAGAGTCGGTATGAGAAAGCAATGGGTCATTTTTCTGGATCAGTCACAGCTATGGAACCCACCATTGAGTCCCGTTTTTTATCCCAGGTACACTGGCTTGTTGTATGTGAAAAGCCATAAAGCTGAAATTAATAATGAACTTGGGGTCCTTCTGTATCTGTAGCCGTAATTCATATGACTGAGATGAGGGATGAAACTTCAAACATTTCACTCACTCCGTGTGCTATGGCTGTTATGAGTGTTCTGTAACTGCAGAATATGACAGGTTGACAAAAACACCAGGAAAAATCTCTCACTTTTAGATGTTGTTTGGGGCAGAGAAAGAGATTACACATGTAAAACTGGAAAAGTGTGCTATATTGAATAAGGCAACTGCACTTCCTGATTTGGCCTTGTTTTAGATTTGGTTCTTTAAGAAACGCTAGTGGCCATGGCTGAATTCAAACGCGAGTTGGTTTCTGTGTCCTGGTTTGATGTGGGTGTCTTGTGTGTGTTCGCAGGTGGGAAGAGTTAGCCAAATGATTTAGCCAATTAGCTTCAGCTGGCTTGTGTGCGACTGTGGCAAAGTTGGTTTAACTTTGGATAGCCTATCTCAGGGGCTAGTTAGGGACCGTCAATAAATTACACAATGTAAATTAGACAATATTTTCATGTTACACACCTTTTAGTTTTCTCATTTAATTCCCAAAAATTAATTTCTGCAATTTATACTTGGGTTGAGGTTTTTAAGTCATTGAAATTTGGAGTTATTGGAATTGTAACATATTGTCCCATGTACATTGTGTAATTTACCGATGGTCCCTAACTAGCCCCATAGGGATATCCAAAGTTAACAAAAATGCACAACAGGCATTACGATTGGGTCCCATGCAGCTGCGCTCCAAACTGATGATTACTTGTGTACTGCCAGCTGTGGGCAAGATTGAAACAAACTCAACCTTCATTTATGTTGTGATGCAGTCACGACCACAAGTCTCACAAAATGATGCCGTGTAAGCTGTTTTCTAAATGAGAAGTTCGTTTTTAGGGGCAGTTGCTCTTTAAATTGAGGTCATAGTTTTACTGAAAGGTAACTTAAATGTTGGGGGTAATATTGAGGTCAAACTTTGTTTGCTACATAGGCTATCTGAAAATGTTTCATACTGTTTTGATAATAAATGATGCATTCTAATGCCATTTCGAGTTGAGATTAGTCTGTAATCCATTGCTGTTGTGTTGTGTGTGTGTGTGTGTGTGTGTGTGTGTGTGTGTCAGGTTTTTTCTGAATAATTTTTAATTTAGTTAGGTGTGACATGAATAGCTTAAAGAGCCAAATTCAGCCTCATAAAGCGTTTCTGGCCCTTTTTACAGCCTTATAAATACAGAGTTAATTTGTTTTTTGTCTGCTGCAAGATTAAAAAGCGAACAGAGGGAAAAGGTGTTTTAAGGTGTCCGTTTCATTCATTCACAGCACCCTGCGGTCAGGATATAAACACACTTGTGGAACATTACGTGTTTGATGTGGGTGAAACATTGCTAACGTTACAGGAATAAAGTTCAGGGTTGGGGGAAAAAAAAAAAAAAATGCAAGCAGCCCATATTTCAGCAAAATATGGCGCTGAAAACTGAGATGGGAGAGATGTGGGTCCTATACTCTACTCTTGGGTGAAATATGTTGTCAACATACACGAGGTATAGCCACCATAAATTCAGCCTGGGTTACAAGAGCAGTAAAGTCAAGCTGAATCTGCCTCCCACTGATGGCAGTATGGAAGAACTGTGGAGAGAAGAGAGGGCAACCTTGTCTCAGAGCATTTCATATTATTCTGAACGTAAATCTGAGACACTCCATTTAGTATATGTTACGTTTCTTATGGTATGTATTCATTTGTGAATGTCCATCACCCATTCATTTGACATGTTAGTAATTACAATTCGTATTATATGTTACGAATTTGCAAAACGTAAGATATGTTATGAATTCTAGCTAGGTCGCTAACGTTCGCTAGCTGGTTAAAGGGTTAAGGTTAGCGGAAAGGTCAGCTAAAAGGGTTAAGGTTTGGGGGTTAGCTAACATGCTAAGTAGTTTCAACGTAGCTAAAAAGTAAGTAGTTGAAAAGTTGGTAATTAGCAAAAATGCTAAAGTTGTCTGTGATGAGATTAAAACTCACAACCTTTGGGTTACTAGATGTTTGCGTTAGACGCCCACCCATCCACTCCAACCCACCACTCTACTTTCGTTTGCATTAAGTAACCAACTGTACCAAACAAAAGATATCGGTATAATTAATTTGAGTGTCCTGGATTTACATTTACTATGTTACGTCTAGTCTTTGAGACCAGGCTGGAGAGGTAGGAGGGGTTCCCCTGTAGCTGACTGAATCTGGTTCTGTATTGTGAGCTCTTTGGGAGCGGTAGTCTTGGTGGTCTGAGAGACTGGTGGTCTGTAACAAATCGGACACCCCTCTCTGTCCCCCTCAAGCCCACTTTGGTCCGGTTTGGCCCTGATCCAGCCCTGAATCACTCCCCTAGGCTGTGATACAGGAAAACCCTGAGAAACAGGCCTAAATCATACCTGTCCAACCCCCATGTGACAGGAAGCTAAGACTGACCAGGGAGAGAAAAGTCCAACATGAATTGTATCTATTTAAGTTGGAATTTTATATGTGTTTTATACGAGCCTGTGGTTGCAGAGGGATCTGCTGTGTATACATACACTACTTCCTTTTGACTTGAGTTAGGGCACAGTGGATTTATTAATTCACAGGCGTTCTGTAAAACCTGAGGAAGCGAGGCTTGACATGAGTAACTCAGACACAGTTTATTTGGGAAATGAAGCATGTCATTGTACAACAGTGTTATGTCCTATCAGGATCCTATAACAGTTCAAATATAAAACTAACAGTGTAAATCTCTCTGCTAAAGGCCTGCAGTAGCCTACTAGTCATGATGTGGGGTAGATATCAGAGGAGGCTGGTGGGAGGAGCTATAGGAGGACGGGCTCATTGTCATGGCTGGAATGGAATAAATGGAACGTATCGAACAGAAACATGGAAACGACATGTTTGACTCCGTTCCATTAATTCCATTCCAGCAATTACAATAGCTCCTCCCACCAGCCTCTAGAGAGCGAGAGCGATAGAGATAGATATAAAGAGTCTGTGATTCCTTTGATTTCTGTGGTGATTCAGGCAATGGTGAGTATAGCTCTCTCTCTCGCTTCTCCTCGAGGCGGCGTTGGCGAAGAATATGACGTCCTCTTTGCTCTCAACCTTCCTCTGGAGGAACTGGAGACCAGTACTGTTGAACCCCAGAACATCCTGGAGCAGAAGGCGAGGAACAGTTTGATATGACTTGTGGATCATCAGCCTTTAGAGTAAATGTTTCTATATTCTTCGATTGGACTCACCCTGAACTCTCGGACTTTAGAGATGGTGTTGGTTCTTAGCTCGTCTATGACGGTCAGCAGCATCTGGTTACTGGAGATCTGGCCAAAGTGGACCCTGGAGAGATAAGGACCAGCACAGTGAGGACAGACCCAGACAGACATGAGGCTCATCTACTCGCAAGTACCACAGAGACACCAGACACACACACCTGTGTGAGGTTATTTGCATACTGTTGTGTATGATATAAACCTCTTATCTCCACAACATAAACTTTTCAGGGAATTGCAAAAATGACCATATTTTCCCATTAACGAACATACAATTCTGAAACTTCAGAAGCTATTGTGAATACATTTTCTTGGTCTTAGATCCATGAAATGTTCAGAGTACATTTTTTATATATATATATAAAAAAATACAAAGTTTTCATCAGACAGAAATTATGTGTGAGAAATACACAAACAACTGACTGACAAACACTTGTGATTAGTGTGAGGTTGTTTGTTAGCATGTCCGTTGTCTCTAGAGGTCATCCTTCCAAATCTAGTCTCATTGACTCGACTAGTGGAAGTCTGGAAAACCATAGTATTGGATCGTGCGTTTCAATGGAAGCGCCGGCTCATTAACACTCGCATTTTATTGGCCGTAAGTAGAAATTTCATTTTCCTTCAGGAGAGGCATTTCCTTGTTTTTCCCATTTTGTTTTTCCTTGTTTTGTCCGTGCCTCTTTTCCTACCCTGTCGGACAAAGTTTTAGTAGCTTATGCTACATTATTTTTTGTATCTTATGATAGCTAGCTTGTTGCAAGTCAGACATTTTTTCAGAAACACCACCTCTGTTTGGAATTCCACCCATAAAAAATAGCAACACATCACTAGTTTGAATCTAGACTCCACCCCTTTATATAATCATCCTGAGGAGAACTTCCCCAGGTTATTGCACCACTTGAGAAGCCTGGCATCGGAGGCTAGCATACCTGAGCAGGAAGAAGAGGCAGCGGCACACTAGCTCCACCTCCAGGCTGTACTGGACATAGCGGTTGAAGAGAGAGGCAGGTCTGGGACGTATGGGAACGGCAGGACCAGCAGAGACACCTCCAGCTCACTGGAACAGACCTTCTTTATCATGTCCAAGACCTAGCGAGACGGCTGCAAGGGAGGCAGGAAAGGATGTGGTTACTATGGTTACATGATAGATTAGTGAGGAACATAACTAGTACCATGGGCTATGTATGTATCATGATAATTTCAGGTGGAATTAAAAACTTACAGAAACGTTTCCAAAGGCCACAAGGATAAGATTGGCCTTAGGTGGAGGCAACTGTTTGCCGGCTGACTGGCAGGCTATCTGATGTTCTCTGATCTGTACAGCTCCAGAGCCTCCATGACAAGCTCAGCCTGAAGAGAGAGACAAACACACACACACACACACCGGCCATTACAAATTACACACACACCTACCTGAACATGCACACACACAACCTCTCCATCTCTGCAGTCTAGTTACTTGACATGGAGACTCACAGCTTTGACTATCTCTATGGTCTTCTTCACCACTGGTGCTGCCTCTGCGTCTTTGGTCTCTCCAGGAACATGTGAAACACACGAGATGTCAGTGAGATAGAAACAACACAGAGAAAACAAACCTTTAGACTTCCACTGTTTGAAATAAATAAAGTCACTCCGATGGGAAAGAGAGCATTTAGGTCACAAAATTGGTTGCCATTCATCAATATTCAACACATTTTTAATCATGAAACACTAGGCCTCATCGCTATATGGGAAATGTAACAGCATGGGAGTGAATGTCACCTCTAGAGTCTGGATGTGCTCAAACTTGTCTGCATCCCACTGTTCTATCTTCTTGTCCTTCCCCGCTGTGAAGAACAGATGGGTTTTGGGAACAAACAAAATAAATAAGGAGAAAGAAAAGAAAAGCAGATGAGAAATGACAAAACAGCGACATGAAAGAGCAGATGGGGTGATGTCATCTGCTCACACTAATCATAAGTGTTTGTCAGTCAGTTGCTTGTGTATTTCTCACACATAATTTCTGTCTGATGAAAACTTTGTAACTCCATTTTTGCTAATTTTCCATTTTTGCTAGTTTTCCTATTCTTCTTAAAAATGTACTCTGAACATGTCAGATGGGGTGATGTCAAGGACAATGTTTCTGAAACTGGAGATTAAATTAAATATTTTACTGGAAATGGGGAGAGTGAAGCCAACGTATATTAAATGATATCACTCAAGACCGTTGGTCAAGCGTCCACATTAATCCATTTACACTGACCATATGTCTGACGGCTTAGGACGATGTGTTCTGGGAGTATATTATATATTCATATTATATTAAATCAAATCAAATTGTATTTGCTACATGCGCCGAATACAACAGGTGTAGACCTTACAGTGAAATGCTTACTTACAAGCCCTTAACCAACAATGCAGTTTTAAGAAAAATAAGTGTTAAGTAAAAAATAGATAAGTTAAAAATAACAAATAATTAAAAAGCAGCAGTAAAATAAAATAACAGTAGGGAGGCTATATACAGGGGGTACCGGTACAGAGTCAATGTGCGGGGGCACCGGTTAGTCGAGGTAATTGAGGTAATATGTACATGTGGGTAGAGTTAAAGTGACTATGCATAGATAATAAACAGAGTAGCAGCAAATAGTCCGGGTAGCCATGATTAGCTGTTCAGGAGTCTTATGGCTTGGGGGTAGAAGCTGTTAAGAAGCCTTTTGGACCTAGACTTGGCGCTCCGGTACCGTTTGCCGCGCGGTAGCAGAGAGAACAGTCTATGACTAGGGTGGCTGGAGTCTTTGACAATTTTGAGGGCCTTCCTCTGACACCGCCTGGTATAGAGGTCCTGGATGGCAGGAAGCTTGGCCCCAGTGATGTACTAGGCCGTACGCACTACCCTCTGTAGTGCCTTGCGGTCGGAGGCCGAGCAGTTGCCATACCAGGCGGTGATGCAACCAGTCAGGATGCTCTCGATGGTGCAGCTGTATAACTTTTTGAGGATCTGAGGACCCATGCCAAATCTTTTCAGTCTCCTGAGGGGGAATAGGCTTTGTCGTGCCCTCTTCACGACTGTCTTGGTGTGTTTGTACCATGAGTTTGTTGGTGATGTGGACACCAAGGAACATGAAGCTCTCAACCTGTTCCACTACAGCCCCGTCGATGAGAATGGGGGTGTGCTCAGTCTTCTTTTTTTTCCTATAGTCCACAATCATCTCCTTTGTCTTGATCACGTTGAGGGAGAGGTTGTTATCCTGGCACCACACGACCAGGTCTCTGACCTCTTCCCTATAGGCTGTCTCATCGTTGTCGGTGATCAGGCCTACCACTGTTGTGTCGTCTGCAAACTTAATGATCGTGTTGGAGTCATGCCTGGCCATGCAGTCATGGGTGAACAGGGAGTACAGGAGGGGACTGAGCGCGCACCCCTGAGGGGCCCCCGTGTTGAGGATCAGCGTGGCAGATGTGTTGTTACCTACCCTTACCACCTGGGGGCGGCCCGTCAGGATGTCCAGGATCCAGTTGCAGAGGGAGGTGTTTAGTCCCAGGGTCCTTAGCTTAGTGATGAGCTTTGAGGGCACTATGGTGTTGAACGCTGAGCTGTAGTCAATGCATAGCATTCTCACGTAGGTGTTCCTCTTGTCCAGGTGGGAAAAGGCAGTGTGGAGTGCAATCGAGATTGCATCATCTGTGGATCTGTTGGGGCGGTATGCAAATTGGAGTGGGTCTAGGGTTTCTGGGATAATGGTGTTGATGTGAGCCATGACCAGCCTTTCAAAGCACTTCATGGCTACAGATGTGAGTGCTACAGGTCGGTAGTCATTTAGGCAGGTTTTCTTGGTGTTCTTCGGCACAGGGACTATGGTGGTCTGCTTGAAACATGTTGGTATTACAGACTCAGTCAGGGACATGTTGAAAATGTCAGTGAAGACACTTGCCAGTTGGTCAGCGCATGCTCGGAGTACATGTCCTGGTAATCCGTCTGGCCCTGCGGCCTTGTGAATGTTGACCTGCTTAACAGTCTTACCCACATCAGCTAAGGAGAGCGTGATCACATAGTCATCCGGAACAGCTGATGCTCTCATGCATGCTTCAGTGTTGCTTGCCTCGAATCGAGCATAGAAGTGATTTAGCTTGTCTGGTAGGCTCGTGTCACTGGGTAGCTCGCGACTGTGCTTCCCTTTGTAGTCTGTAATATTAGGTTATACATTTTCTGTACCTGTCATCGTGGGCAAACATAGATCGGTGACCGCAATGTCCAGACCCCAGATCTTGATGTTTCTGTCTGCAGAGCCGGTTGCTATCAAGGCACTGTCCTAAGCGCTGGAGAAGAAGCAACATTCAGAGTCAAGACAGACTAGACACACATAACACACATCAACTTTAACCAACACACTCAAGTATGCACATTCTATATTCGTCTACCGTCACACATTACATTAGTTTTTAGTTTAGATTGGTTGCCAGGTTGAGTACTGGTACTCACATGAGAGATGTCCAGGCAGGGCACAGGGAGCTTGTGTCCACACAGAGAGAAGAACTTGAGTGTGTCTGTGTAGAAGACCTTGACGGTGCAGTCCAGCAAGGAGACAGCCAACAGTCTCTGGTCAGGAGAATATTTCACAAACACAACACATCCTCATCCAGCTGCAGTGTACTCATGTGTTTCACAGTCAGCCTCCTGCAACACACACACACACACACACACACACACACACACACACACACACACACACAAACAATTAGATCAGAGTCAACACAAACTCCAATCAAGTGCTCACTCGATAGAAGCACACTTGAATAACAGCATGCAGCCTGAGATCACTAGTACCTGCCTGGGCACATAACTAGTTGCCTCTAGTATAAAACAGCATTCTAAGTGTTCCTGACAGTATGTGAAACAGAAGGAATAAAGCTTGGCTTACTTCTATGCAGCCTCTCCGTCCTTAATAAGCTGAAACTCCCCCCATCACTATCCCCCTCTGAGGAAATAACATAATTACAGTCAAATAAACAGTCATTCTGTTACCAATCTTTGCATCTGCACACTGTTCTTCAAGTAAATGTGCTTTTGTAAAATGTTTAGTGAAAATTGTTCAAAGTAATCATTGTGCATAGAGTTGTTTGGTTTGTTTAACTTTTAAATAATGGTTTTTTGTTTGACATACTGTACATTTTAAAGTGAGAAATCTGAGTCTCAGCATCCCTCTGTAAACGTGGAATTGTCCATGGGCTTTTGTCTACAGATAAGGACACCTTTGGAGTTGTAATGGAGATTGGCACTTTAGAAAATGAGACCCATGAAAGCGCTACGTTTTGTGGATGATGTTGAACATGGACAGGAAGAGGCAGATCCTGACAGACAGACAGTACCTGATCAGGAGACAGACAGAGGGACCACAGAGCTCCGTTATGGGCGTCAACAGTGTCCAGGAGGGTTCCTGATGACAAGTCCAAGATCTGAATCTTACCACTCTGACAGGAGAGGAGAGAGACAGACTATGTCTGGACACACACAAAATAGTCAAAATTGGTGGAGTGAAAAATAACTTGTTTCAAAAGATTCTACAAAATAAATAACGGAAAATTGATGCGTGCATATGTATTCTCCCCCTTTGCTATGAAGCACCTAAATAAGATCTGGTGCAACCAATTACCTTCAGAAGTCACATAATTAGTTAAATAAAGTCCACCTGTGTGCAATCTAAGTGTCACATGTTCTGTCACATGATCTCAGTATATATACACACCTGTTCTGAAAGGCCCCAGAGTCTGCAACACCACTAAGCAAGGGGCACCACCAAGCAAGCGGCACCATGAAGACCAAGGAGCTCTCCAAACAGGTCAGGGACAAAGTTGTGGAAAAGAATATGGAAGAAGGGACTCTGGTCAGATGAGACTAAAATTGAGCTTCTTGGCCATCAAGGAAAACGCTATGTCTGGCGCAAACCCAACACCTCTCATCACCCCAAGAACACCATCCCCACAGTGAAGCATGGTGGTGGCAGCATCATGCTGTGGGGATGTTTTTCATCGGCAGGGACTGGGAAACTGGTCAGAATTGAAGGAATGATGGATGGTGCTAAATACAGGGAAATTATTGAGGGAAACCTGTTTCAGTCTTCCAGAGATTTGAGACTGGGACGGAGGTTCACTTTCCAGCAGGACAATGACCCTAAGCATACTGCTAAAGCAACACTTGAGTGGTTTAAGGGGAAACATTTAAATGTCTTGGAATGGCCTAGTCAAAGCCCAGACCTCAATCCAATTGAGAATCTGTGGTATTTACATTTACATTTTAGTCATTTAGCAGATGTTCTTATCCAGAGCGACTTACAGTTAGTGAGTGCATAAATTTGTTCATACTGGTCCCCCGTGGGAATCGAACCCACAACCCTGGGGTTGCAAGCGCCATACTCTACCAACTGAGCTACACGGGACTACGGTATGACTTAAAGATTGCTGTACACCAGCTGAACCCATCCAACTTGAAGGAGCTGTAGCAGTTTTGCATTGAAGAATGGGCAAAAATCCCAGTGGCTAGATGTGCCAAGCTTATAGAGACATACCCCAAGAGACTTGCAGCTGTAATTGTTGCAAAAGGTGACTCTACAAAGTATTGACTGGGGGGTGAATAGTTATGCACGCTCAAGTTCTGTTTTTTTGTCTTATTTCTTGTTTGTTTCACAAGAAAAAATATTTTGCATCTTCAAAGTGGTAGGCATGTTGTGTAAATCAAATGATACAACCCAAAAAAAATCTATTTTAATTCCAGGTTATAAGGCAACAAAATAGGAAAAATGCCAAGGGGGGTGAATACTTTCGCAAGCCACTGTACATCCGCAGACTGGTCCCTGCCGTGGCTGTAGTGACAGTGTGATCTCTACTCTGTCTGCAACTTACCTGGCCTTCTTCTTGGCTCTCTTCAGCTTCTTTGCCATCACCCTCTCGACCTCATCCTCCGGCAGCACACTGAACACCTCCAGCACCGCATCTGAGCCCTGATGAAAGAGAGGGATGGGGAAAAGGAGAAGGGAAGAATACACGTGATATTAGTGATCTGAGAAATGTATGACAATAAATCAACATGACTGGAGGGTGAGACTGTACCAATGTTAAAAGGTCAAAGGGCAATTCTTACATGGCAAGCTAGGACCTTGGCCTTAGCATCGAGACCACCCTGTCCCTAGCCTCAGATACACATGCTATTAGACAGTAATTACTACATTCATTACTAGCTACTCTACTTCTTCAGAGTTATTTTCTAGATTAAATAGTTCTGTAGGTAACTGATTGTGGTGTTTTGCCCTGCAGAGGATCATGGTCTATCGTACTTTCTCAGGTCTCATCCACACCATCCTCCAGGTCTCGTCCACACCATCCTCCTCATTCTCAAGTAGGCTTTTCCACTTCTTCTCCTTGGGTTCACCAGCCTCTTTACCCTGACCAACACGCAAACCAAGAGAGAGAGAGTGAAGGACTCAACACCATCCAATGTCAACAATTGTGCAAGTTCTCCCACTTAAAAAGATGAGAGAGGCCTGTAATTTTCATCATAGGTACACGTCAACTATGACAGACAAAATGAGACTTTTTTTTCCGGAAAATCACATTGTAGGATTTTTAATGAATTTATTTGCAAATTATGGTGGAAAATAAGTATTTGGTCACCTACAAACAAGCAAGATTTCTGCCTGTAACTTCTTCTTTAAGAGGCTCCTCTGTCCTCCACTCGTTACCTGTATTAATGGCACCTGTTTGAACTTGTTATCAGTATAAAAGACACCTGTCCACAACCTCAAACAGTCACACTCCAAACTCCACTATGGCCAAGACCAAAGAGCTGTGAAAGGACACCAGAAACAAAATTGTAGACCTGCAACAGGCTGGGAAGACTGAATCTGCAATAGGTAAGCAGCTTGGTTTGAAGAAATCAACTGTGGGAGCAATTATTAGGAAATGGAAGACATACAAGTGTCATAGTTGAGTGTAGAAGTGGTGTGGAATCAAGCGCAGGACACACAGAGGCTTCGTACTGACGTCTTTAGTGAAGACAAAAAAGAACAAGCCAAACACGGCTACATACAACCTGGCAGGCAAGCGAACTTTACGCACACCGGTAAAGTACATACAAAGGCACAAAAGTGCAGAGCTCTCTACTACACCGAACAGAGAGACAAAAACGAACTAGCTTCCCACAGTGACAACAAACAATTACACACAACACATGACAAAACTCAAGAGAACTTATAGGACGCATAATTAACACTAACAAGGAACAGGTGTAACAAAAACAGACAAAACCAATCAAACATTGCAGCTAGTACTCCGGAGACGACGACCGCCGAAGCCTGCCCGAACAAGGAGAAGGAGCAGCCTCGGCCGAAACCGTGACAACAAGACCACTGATAATCTCCCTCGATCTGGGGCTCCACGCAAGATCTCACCCCGTGGGGTCAAAATGATCACAAGAACGGTGGCAAAAATCCCAGAACCACACGGGGGGACCTAGTGAATGACCTGCAGAGAGCTGGGACCAAAGTAACAAAGCCTACCATCAGTAACACACTACGCCGCCAGGGACTCAAATCCTGCAGTGCCAGACGTGTCCCCCTGCTTAAGCCAGTACATGTCCAGGCCCGTCTGAAGTTTGCTAGAGTGCATTTGGATGATCCAGAAGAGGATTGGGAGAATGTCATATGGTCAGATGAAACCAAATAGAACTTTTTGGTAAAAACTCAACTCGTTTGGAGGACAAAGAATGCTGAGTTGCATCCAAAGAACACCATACCTACTGTGAAGCATGGGGGAGGAAACATCATGCTTTGGGGCTGTTTTTCTGCAAAGGGACCAGGACGACTGATCCGTGTTAAGGAAAGAATGAATGGGGCCATGTATCGTGAGATTTTGAGTGAAAACCTCCTTCCATCAGCAAGGGCATTGAAGATGAAACGTGGCTGGGTCTTTCAGCATGACAATGATCCCAAACACACCGCCCGGGCAACGAAGGAGTGGCTTCGTAAGAAGCATTTCAAGGTCCTGGAGTGGCCTAGCCAGTCTCCAGATCTCAACCCCATAGAAAATCTTTGGAGGGAGTTGAAAGTCTGTGTTGCCCAGCGACAGCCCCAAAACATCACTGCTCTAGAGGAGATCTGCATGGAGGAATGGGCCAAAATACCAGCAACAGTGTGTGAAAACCTTGTGAAGACTTACAGAAAACGTTTGACCTGTGTCATTGCCAACAAAGGGTATATAACAAAGTATTGAGAAACTTTTGTTATTGACCAAATACTTATTTTCCACCATAATTTGCAAATAAATTCATTAAAAATCCTACAATGTGATTTTCTGGAAAAAAAAGTCTCATTTTGTCTGTCATAGTTGACGTGTACCTATGATGAAAATTACAGGCCTCTCTCATCTTTTTAAGTGGGAGAACTTGCACAATTGGTGGCTGACTAAATCATTTTTTTCCCCACTGTATGATATAATCAAATGTTCAGCTAGGCAGGAACGTCTCACCTCACTGTGATGTCCCACCATGGTCTTAAAGCAGTCCTTTGGCCAAAAAGATAATCAAGGACAACTACCACCCGAGCCACTGCCTGTTCACCCCGCTATCATCCAGTTGGCGAGTACAGGTGCATCAAAGCTGGGACAGAGAGACTGAAAAACAGCTTCTATCTCAAGGCCATCAGACTGTTAAACAGACATTACTAGCACAGAGAGGCTGCTGTCTACATACAGACTTGAAAATCACTGGCCACTTTAATAAATGGAACACTAGTCACTTTAATAATGCCACTTTAATGTTTACATATCTTGCATTACCCATCTCATATGTGTATACTGTATTCTATACTATCTATTGCATCTTAGACTATACCACTCTGATAATGATAATGACATTGCTTATCCATATATTTATACACTACCGGTCAAAAGTTTTAGAACACCTACACATTCAAGGGTTTTTCTTAATTTTTACTATTTTCTACATTGAAGAATAATAGTGAAGACATCAAAACTATGAAATAACACATATGGAATCATGTAGTAACCACAAAAGTGTTAAACAAATCAAAATATATTTTATATTTGAGATTAATAGCCACCCTTTACCTTGATGACAGCTTTGCACACTCTTGGCATTCATGAGGTAGTCACCTGGAATGCATTTCAATTAACAGGTGTGCCTTCTTAAAAGTTAATCTGTGGAATTTCTTTCCTTCTTAATGCATTTGAACAATCAGCTGTGTTGTGACAAGGTAGGGTGGTATACAGAAGACAAACTCCATATTATGGCAAGAACAGCTCAAATAAGCAAAGAGAAACGACAGTCCATCATTACTTTAAGACATGAAGGTCAGTCAAAAATTTCAAGAACTATGATGAAACTGACTCTCATGAGGACTGCCACAGGAATGGAAGACCCAGAGTTACCTCTGCTGCAGAGGATAAGTTCATTAGAGTTACCAGCCTCAGAAATTGTAGCCCAAATAAATGTTTCACAGAGTTTAAGTAACAGACACATCTCAACATCAACTGTTCAGAGGAGACTGTGTGAATCAGGCCTTCATGGTCGAATTGCTGCAAAGAAACCACTACTAAAGGACACCAATAATAAGAAGAGACTTGCTTGGGCCAAGAAACACAAGCAATGGACATCAGACCGGTGGAAATGTGTCCTTTGGTCTGGAGTCCCAATTGGAGATTTTTGGTTCCAACCGCCATGTCTTTGTGAGACGCGGTGTGGGTGAACGGAATTCTCTGCATGTTTATTTCCCACCGTAAAGCATGGAGGAGGAGGTGTTATGGTGTGGGGGTGCTTTGCTGGTGACACTGTCTGTGATTTATTTAGAATTCAAGGCACACTTAACCAGCATGGCTACCACAGCATTCTGCAGCGATACGCCATCCCATCTGCTTTGGGCTTAGTGGGTCTATCATTTGTTTTTCAACAGGACAATGACCCAACATACCCCCAGGCTGTGTAAGGGCTATTTTACCAAGAAGGAGAGTGATGGTTTGGGATGAATCGGACCGCAGAGTGAAGGAAAATCAGCCAACAAGTGCTCAGCATATGTGGGAACTCCTTCAATAGTGTTGGAAAAGCATTCCAGGTTAAGCTGGTTGAGAGAATGCCAAGAGTGTGCAAAGCTGTCATCAAGGCAAAGGGTGGCTATTTGAAGAATCTCAAATATAAAATAAATGTTGATTTGTTTAACACTTTTTTTGTTACTACATGATTCCATATGTGTTATTTCATAGTTTTGATGTCTTCGCTATTATTCTACAATGTAGAAATAGTACAAATAAAGGAAAACCCTTGAATGAGTAGGTGTTCTAAAACTTTTGACCGGTTGTGTATATTCTTATTACATTCCTTTACTTAGATTTGTGTGTATTAGGTATTTGTTGTAGAACTGTTAGATATTACTTGCTAGATATTGCTGCGCTGTTGGAACTAGAAGCACAAGCATTTCGCTAGACTCGCAATCTGCTAACCATGTGTATGTGACCAATACATTTGATTTGATATTTGATTTGACCTAATATGTCATCTCTCACGACTAGGTAATACTGGTGATTTCATAGGGTTACAATTTGGTATCACTGGCCAGGTCATCTTATTTGAGTTATAAGACAGCCATGGGTTAGAACACTTCAGGCCCAGTTATTATGCCGCATTCAAGACAACTCGGAAACTCAGAAATGTCAGACTTGGAAACTCATTGTAGAAAGATGAAGTTCGTTATTCCCACTTGGAAAGTATCCGAATCAACCAATAGGAAGCTCTACGCAACAACAACAAAACATACGCAAATTCTTACTCTGAGGTTCAGAGTTGTCTTCAAAGCACCATAAGAGCACTGTCAGCAATTATGCAGGTACTGCTTGGTAAACCCCATGGTCGCAGCCTCAGGGCGACATCACAGGCTAGGGACATGATGAGACAGTGATGATGAATATCATATGATGATAAGTAGAATTGCACGAAATTAACTCTACAATTTCTCTCTGCTGTCAAGCGGGGGCTGCTAAAATGTTTTGCTTGCAATATGGTGGACAACTGCGACCCCTCATGATGAGTTCAGATTTGCCGATCCTGGGTTAGAGCATCAGCATGGTGTAAACAGTGCAACAAGTGTACAGTGTGCATTATCGCAAGCCTGGGTGGCATTCTGTTTCTGCTCCCTAGCCAACTCCTTATGGAATTGTCATGTTTTGCTCGACAAGGACAGCAAAAGAGTAACGCGCACAAGACAAGAGCACAAAAAGATCTGGGACCATTCCACATTATAGCTACAACATACAAAACAATATAGACAGCCAGTGATGTTTTCTGGGTCGTCAATAGTTACCACTAACGTTGATGTTACGTTTGATACTAGAGCTCCGAGGAATGCGTCGAAATCGCTAGCAGCAACTTCAAAGCAGTGCGCTGATGCGTGTGTCCAAATTGAGTAGAGTATGAAGATAGGCAGAAATTTCTTCCCCAATGGAAAGACGTCATTGGTCTTTAGGAGCGTCTTGCGCCGAACTGAGTGTGCAGCAAATGCGAGATCCCACTGATTTCGTTGTTGTTCTGGTGCTTTCTTCGATTCCAAGCTGTTTCCAAACATCGACCTCTACTGGACACTGTACTCAAAAGATTTTGTAGATATCATTTCACCTCATTGGTAGTTTAGCAGTTAGAATAGGGAACAATGAGGGACGTGAGGGTATGAGGTCAAATACCGTTGAAGGCACACTATTTAAAAAGTTGTTTTATGTGAAACCACACTTTCTGCACTCTTGTTCAAATAAATCGTTTTATTTAGTATAGTATAGCTTATCTTAAGCATCCTAAATAATGCCATAGTAAACTTGAAGTCAAAAAAGGGAAGCATTATGTAAACCTGGTGGTGTTCCAACTGGCCCACGAAAAGTCAACGATTTACCACTGAGGCACGGAGTTTTGATGAAAACAGTAGGGGGAAAAAAGTTACTCTGATAATCACACACTGCTGTTTATTGCTAACCAGCAGATGTCACTAATGTCCACTGTGAACCGATAATGAAGCTCCAAGTAATTAACCGTTTTTCGACACAATTTGGTGAAAGCTCCGAAGCCTTCAGAAAGCTTAACCCTAACCTTGAATCAAGACCAAAAAGCTTATATTTGTTTTCATGAATTTTTACGATATAGCCATATATATTTTTGGGATGTGGTAACTAGTGGAAACCTGTTTAGTTTTTTACTTCTGGGCACACGAGGAAGACCCTACTAATCACAAACAGATGTAGTCGAACACAAACCATAGACAGTAAAAAACAATTTACACAAACACATACGCCCACATTGATGTCCGTCAAGTTTCAAAGAGACAGAAAATCAGTATATTTTAAATATTTTGTTATGATTATTGTACTTATGGTCTTGTTCAATTGCAATTGAACTATCGATCAGTCACATGAACTTGTTTTTGTATCTATTACTTTAGTCTGTATTATGGGCTTGCTTCTTGTGTTGTTGTTTATTTTATTACAGAAAATATATGCTCTATGCCATATATTTGACCATGTATCTAAATGCCTACATTTACCTACAATATAGAAAATTATCTCGAGGATTTACATACCGGTAGCTGTAATACTAACAGGTCCTCTGAGTGCCGTCCTATGCGTTTTACACAAATGTTGGATTTATTGTACGTCCCTGGGCATTATTCCGGAAGGGATTTTTGTGTGTGTTTGGGTTCTTTGTCGTGAATCAGCTGATCAGGAACTCACCAAACTGTAGTAAACGTGACAGCGCGATGGGAATTGGTTTGATCAAGTCAAGTTTTGCCATGTTTGTGATGATAATAAAATCATGAAGACCCCCTGCATTCGTCGCTTTTTGTAATTCAGTACCGCTCGGAGTAGACAACAGATTCGTGGACGAAGGAAAACGGGTAGGTGTACATTTTTCTTCTGATTACCTAACGTTAGCTAGATAACGTTACATCTTTCATTTCCTTCCCCTTTTCGGCATGCTACTATTTGCTGCCGTGCTAGCAGATTATTGTGAATCAAATTAAAAACGAAAGCAAATGCTGCACTGGTAATGAATGTGATGGTCAGCTGAACTCGAGTTCCATGGTTGGTGATGACGACACATTTTATGTTCTCATATTTAACTGTTGAAATGATAATAACAATATGACTAATGGCACAAGCAAAAACACTGGGAAATGTGGGAGGAATAGTATGTTATTGTACATTGTCAAGTGTTTGACCATGCTTCAGTCAACACACATACTCGTTTTTCAAATTATGAAAATTAGCTAGCATATCTTTATCTTCATTCTGCATTTCATCAAGTCCTTTAAGTCCATTGAAATTCCCAGTGTGTTTAGGTGCAGTAATGCAACAGTAATGAGTCAGACCTTGCTCGCCATATTCACCCAATTTCCTCTAACTGCCACCTAACCTCCCAAAAATGCAATCAGAATATTCCAAACATAATTAAAATGTCTACTGACAAAATTGGCTTCTGCTATTGAGGTGATAGGCTTTATTTGGCGGGTTGTAGACTAGAGGTTACAGAAGTCCTGAAAAGTGTTTAATTTATTACTGTCTAGAACTACACTGAACAAAAATATAAACGCAACATGTAAAGTGTTCGTCCCATGTTCCATGAGCTGAAATAAAAGATCCAGCAACTTCGCACAGCAATTGAAGAGGAGTGGGACAACATTCCACAGGCCACAATCAACAGCCTGATAAACTCTATGCGAAGGAGATGTGTGGGGCTGCATGAGGCAAATGGTGGTCACACCAGATACTGACTAGTTTTCTGATCCACGCCACCTACTTTTTTTTAAAGGTATCTGTGACCAACAGATGCATAACTATATTTCCAGTCATGTGAAATTAATAGATTAGGGCCTAATTTATATATTTCAATTGACTGATTTACATGAAAGTGTTGCATGTTGCGTTTATTTTTGTTCAGTGTATTTTGAAGCTGTCAGAACAAAGCCTTTCTTTGATTGTGCTAAAATGCTTTTGCTTTACAAAATGGGTTGTTATTGCTAAGCCTACTGAATGATAAATACTGAAACCGCCAGACCGTTTGTAAACACACATGTAATCACCACTTGTGACTGTCTGCTGGTCCTTGTCATAGCTGCTCCTATTTGGCTCCTGGACAGTGGACACTCTGAAAATACACTTTAATGTCTTTCTCTGGCTTTGTTTGCAGTGTGGAGCATTGAGGTGCAGGCCAGCAAAGTGCAGGAATGGATCCTCTGGGAGCCCGCTCTCAGTTTGTGGAGGTACAGACTCTGTCCACCTGGGAGCGGCAGCCGGACCCTGAGGGAGAGGAGACAGAGAAGGAGTACACTGACAGACTGGTCAGCCAGCAGGCCTTCCCCTCCCCTTTTCCCTACAGAGAGGACATCAACAGGAAGATAGTGCTCTAGTGAGTGACACACCGACTGGACCTCTATCTCTAATACCACTTCTCTATCTTGTGGTCTCTCTTTTGCTCTCTTGCGTTCTCTTTTTTCGCTATCTCGGGGTCTCTCTCATTTTCTCTTACAATCATAATCGTCAAACTCTTATCAAATGCCTTTGTTGATGGCTATAAGGTCTCTCAAGTTGTATCCCTGGCTTCTTGTGCCTTGTGATCCTGTTATTGCTCCATGCATCACTGTGGATCTCTCTCTCTCTCTCTCTCTCTCTCCACGTGGGCATTCTACCCTCTACTTCATAAATCCTCTTTGTGGAGCGAGGCTGAGCACATCACGGGTCCAGAGGTTCCACTAGTAGGAGTCGCTCAGTAAGACCTTTGTACCCAGGTTGCCTCAAGCCCTCCTCACATTCCTGCTGCTGTTAAAGGAACAGACTGGACTAAACTAAGGCCTTTTTACACAGGTCTTAGGAAAATCACTTTTCTGCAAAAACAGTTTGTTTGAAATTTTAGCAACATTTTAGCAAAAGAACAGAAATATCACATTTACATATGTATTCAGACCCTTTACTAAGTACTTTGTTGAAGCACCTTTGGCAGCGATTACAGCCTAGAGTATTCTTGGGTATGACGCTACAAGCTTGCCACACCTGTATTTGGGGAGTTTCTCCCATTCTTCTATGTAGATCCTCTCAAACTCTGTCAGGTTGGAAGGGGAGCGTCACTGCACAGCTATTTTCAGGTCTCTCAAGAGATGTTCCATCTGGTTCAAGTCTGGGTTCTGGCTGGGCCACTCAAGGACATTCAGAGACTTGTCCAGAAGCCACTCCTGCGTTGTCTTGGCTGTGTGCTTAGAGTCGTTGTCCTGTTGGAAGGTGAACCTTCGCCCCAGTCTGAGGTCCTGAGCACTCTGGATCAGGTTTTCATCAAGGATCTCTTTGTACTTTGCTCCGTTCATCTTTCCTTCGATCCTGACTAGTCTCCCAGTCCCTGCCGCTGAAAAACATCCCCACAGCATGATGCTGCCACCACTATCCTTCACCATAGGGATGGTGCCAGGTTTCCTCCAGACGTGACGCTTGGCATTCAGGCCAAAGAGTTCAATCTTGGTTTCATCAGACCAGAGAATCTTGTTTCTCATGGTCTGAGTCCTTTAGGTGCCTTTTGGCAAACTCCAAGCAGGCTGTCATGTGCCTTTTTACTGAGGAGTGGCTTTTGTCTGGTCACTCTACCATAAAGGCCTGATTGGTGGAGTGCTGCAGAGATGGTTGTCCTTCTGGAAGGTTCTCCCATCTCCACATAGGAACTCTGGAGCTCTGTCAGAGTGACCATCGGGTTCTTGGTCACCTCCCTGACCAGGGCCCTTCTCCCCCGATTGCTCAGTTTGGCCGGGCGGCCAGCTCTAGGAAGAGTCTTGGTGGTTCCAAACTTCTCCCATTTGAAGAATGATGGAGGCCACTGTATTCTTGGGGACCTTCAATGCTGCATACATTTTTTGGTACCCTTCCCCAGATCTGTGCCTCAACACAATCTTGTCTCGGAGCGCTACTGAGAATTCCTTCGACCTCATGGCTTGGTTTTTGCTCTGACATGCACTGTCAACTGTGGGACCTTTATATAGACAGGTGTGTGCCTTTCGAAACACAGTCCACCTCCAATCAAGTTGTAGAAACATGTCAAGGATGATCAATGGAAGCACCTGAGCTCAATTTCGAGTCTCATAGCAAAGAGTCTGAATACTTATGTAAGTAAGGTATTTCTGTTTTATTTTAATAAATTAGCAAACATTTCTATAAACCTGTTTTCGCTTTGTCATTATTGGGTGTTGTGTGTAGCATGATTATTTTATTTAATCAATTTTAGAATAAGGCTGTAATGTAACAAAATTTGGAAAAAGTCAAGATGTCTGAATACTTACCGAATGCACTGTATATATATATTTTTTTCAATTGAAAAGGACTGGAATTGGTCAAACTCTCAGTTTAATACATGTACAAAATGATCATTTTCCCCTAAAAGCATGATGGTCATGACTTGTTTACATGAAAGGGGAGCATTACTTGTCTCCGCAGACAATCGATCTGAGATTGACTTAAGTTTCAGTCATGGGATTCATTTTTGCTTTAACCCCTGCAAGTGTGTACAACAAGGCCTACAATTCTTAGCTTGTTCACATCCAACCTTTTTGAGGTAGCACTGCTGTGATTATGCCGATATAGTGAGGAAGAAATCATTATGACTTGTTCATTGGCTGTTTGCTAGCTCCAGCATTTTAGTGAAGTGAAACAGACACGGGTCACTGTAAACGTGATCGTGCGTGTTCTTTTGCTATTTCAATAGCTCGGCTGTCTACTGATCTGTACTCCAATGTCAAGGTTGTCATAGTCTTCATAGTCATTGAGAAATAAGCCTTAGGATGTCATATGACTCAGTACCAACGTCACACTGCTTGAGTAGTTCCCTTTTTACAGTTTGACAAAGCAAAGTTGAAAAATGTAAATGCATAGAAAGCAATTTAGGAGCACAATGACAGTTATTTGAGGTATTAAAGCTAGAATCCTTCATTTGTCTAGGCACACTGGTACTCCTAAATACAAATTCCAGGTCGCACAGCAAAATATTTTTTTCCAGGTCGCACAGCCCCGTGGAATAGGATCTTAACTCAGTAAAGACACATGTAGTCCAACTTAAACTGTTGTGTTAATCATCCATAAACGTCAAAGGGAGATACTGTATGAGTTGGAGCTTGAGTATGGCCAATACAGAGTTAAAATATCTGACCCTCTTTCTTTCTGCTGTCTCCTCTCAGTAATGGCGACGTGGCCCTGCTGAACTGCACAGCAATTGTCAACACGAGTAACGAGACTCTGACGGACAAGAACCCCATTTCTGAGAGCATCCTCTTACACGCTGGGCCTGAGCTTCGAGACGAGCTGCTCAAACTGAACGGTAGGGGGCACCACTGAGTCATCAGGTCAAGGACAGCATGCCTGGGTTGCTCTTAGTCAGCACAAAACAAGAACAATATTTTTCAATGGATGAGGTACTATATCAACTTGATCAATCAGAATGCTTATTTTTGTTGTCCAACTTCTCCTATTCGTTTGTGTCTACTGAACATGACCTTGTGTTATGCTGTCAAAATGAATGTCATGTGTTAACATCATGTGAGCACTGGAGACAAACACATTAATGCCAGCTTTTTATACCACTTGCTCATTTTCAAACAGGAAAAAAGTGTTGGATTGGGTCTTGTTGCTATGCAAATCCCTTTCAAGGCTATGTTCATGGTGAAGAATGTTCTATTTGTGTGTTCTGTGTGGGATGTATGTGTGTATTCATGTGTATGTGTTTATCCACAGGATGTCGGACAGGCGAGGCGAAAATGACCAAAGGCTTTAACCTGGCGGCACGCTTTATCATCCACACGGTGGGCCCCAAGTACAAAGCCAAGTACAGGACGGCTGCTGAGAGCTCACTGTACAGCTGCTATAGGAACGTAATGCAGCTCGCCAAGTAAGAAATTAACTCCTCATTAGTCTACATGAGGTTGACTGTATTGCATAGGTACAACACATTGTTCTATGTGTTCCACCTCGTGTTCATTTGGCTAGCTGCATTCCACTAGGTGTGACTGGGACAGCAGGCCTGTTGATTACATCACAGCTTGTTTACACACGAGTGTTCTCTCCCCACATAACACACATCTGTGTGGAGCGTGAGGTGCTCCCTTACTGCCCATTTAACCTCATGATTTTAGTAAAAAAACAATTTACTGTGTTTGTGGTGTTTACTGTACTGTCAATTGAATGGGTTTTGTGGTGTGTACTGTTAGTATGTGGAGCTGTGTGTGAGCTGTTGTTTGTGTCTCTGCAGAGAACAGGCCATGGCGTCTGTGGCCTTCTGTGTGGTAAGCACAACTAAGAGAGGATACGCACTAGAGGACGCCACACACATCGCCTTTAGTAAGAACGCACACACACACAGCACACATTCACTAATAATGATCTCTCATACAGTAGTATAAAGTATACCATGTCACATCATTTTAAGTAGCTCACATGTGGCTGTCAACTATTTTATTTATTTGTTAGAAATTTTGCAGGATGAAATCTCTTGAGATGCATCCTCTCGTTTTCAAGAGTATCCAAATGAAATAAACTCAAACAAACAAACAAACACTACTTAGAAACAAGAATAAGAAGGCAACTACTGTCTAATAATATCAATGAAGTAATAATATTTAAAAACAAAAACTTACATTAACAGCAAATGAAAAGTTGTAATGAAAAGTTGTAACTACTAATAGGCCTACAACTAATAAAAACAACTACTACAACTACCAATACAACTAATATAACTACTGCTACAGCTACTAATATAACTAATAAAACTACTGCTACAACTACTAATACAACCCCCCCACCTTGCGAGCAAAACATTTTAGTGGCCCCCCTCTTGATAGCAGAGAGAAAAGTTTTAGAGTTAATTTCCTGCAATTCTACACATTTTGCCATGGAGTGTAGAGAACATTTTGCAGTTTGAAAGCAAGTTTTCTACAAATCTTCATATTTTGCCATGGGCGGCGTGATTTAGCAATTTTATAACAAATTTCATGCAATTCTACACATTTTGCCATGGGGCGGAAACAGAAGAAAATCATTATAATTTTTTTGTTTTTGGAAATTGGCCGCCAGTTGCCCATCCCTGATATGCATACATACATACTGAACAAAAATATAAATGCAACATGTAAAGTGTTGGTCCCATGTTTCATGAGCTGAAATAAAAGATCACAGAAATGTTCCATACGTACAAAAAGCTTGTTTCTCTCAAATTTTGTTCACAAATTTGTTTACATTCCTGTTAATGAGCATTTCTCCTTTGCCAAAATAATCCATCCACCTGACAGGTGTGACATATCAAGAAGCTGATTTAAACAGCATGATCATTACACAGGTGCACCTTGTGCTGGGGACAATAAAAGGGCACTCTAAAATGTGCAGTTTTGTCACAACACAATGCCACAGATGTCTCAAGTTTAGAGGGAGCGTGCAATTGGCATGCTGACTGCAGGAATGTCCACCAGAGCTGGTGCCAGATAATTGATTGCCACCTCCAACGTCGTTTTAAGAGAATTTGGCAGTACGTCCATGATTTTGACTAGTCTCCCAATCCCTGCCGCTGAAAAACATCATTTTTACATTTACATTTTAGTCATTTAGCAGACACTCTTATCCAGAGCGACTCACAGTTAGTGAGTGCATACATTTTTCATACTGGCCCCCCGTGGGAATCGAACCCACAACCCTGGTGTTGCAAGCGCCATGCTCTACCAACTGAGCTACAGGAGGGCCCACATCCCCACAGCATGATGCTGCCTCCACCATGCTTCACCATAGGGATGGTGCCAGGTTTCCTCCAGACGTGACGCTTGGCATTCAGGCCAAAGAGTTCAATCTTGGTTTCATCAGACCAGAGAATCATGTTCCTCATGGTCTGAGAGTCTTTAGGTGCCTTTTGGCAAACTCATAGCGGGCTGTCATGTGCGTTGTACTGAGGAGTGGCAACCGTCTGGCCACTCTACCATAAAGGCCTGATTGGTGGAGTGCTGCAGAGATGGTTGCCCCTCTGGAAGGTTCTCCTATCTCCACAGAGGAACTCTAGAGCTCTGTCAGTGACCATCGGGTTCTTGGTCACCTCCCTGACCCAAGACCCTTCTCCCCCGATTGCTCAGTTTGCCGGGCGGCCAGCTCTAGGAAGAGTATTGGTGGTTCCAAACATCTTCCATTTAAGAATGATGGCCACTGTGTTCTTGGGGACCTTCAAGAAATGTTTTGGCACCCTTCCCCAGATCTGTGCCTCGACACAATCCTGTCTCAGAGTTTTTGTTTTTAATACATTTGCAAACATTTCTACAAACCTGTTTTCGCTTTGTCATTATGGGGTATTTTGTGTAGATTGCTGAGGAAATTGTTTTATTTAATCAATTTTAGAATAAGGCTGTAACGTGACAGTGGAAAAAGTTAAGGGAACAAAGTGGAAAAAGTTAAGGGGTCTGAATACTTTCCAAGGCACTGTACATATTTAAAAATATCTCCACATGGTGATGTTTATAATAGTTAAAAACAAACAGTTTGTTCTTAACATTTGAAAAAGGGCTTTCTTATATTCATTTTGTGATTTATTGATGCACTGAATTCTATAGGTAAATGATTCCAGTCAGTTGGCCCTTTGTATCTGAAAGATCCTACTCCAATCTAATTGGAATTTGTAAATGCTGCTGTTGTCGAAAGCAGTAGTGTGAGTCTTGTATAGTTACAGTATCTCACAAAGGTGAGTACACCCCTCACATTTTTGTAAATATTTGAGTATATCTTTTCATGTGACAACACTGAAGAAACGACACTTTGCTACAATGTAAAGTAGTGAGTGTACAGCTTGTATAACAGTGTAAATGTGCTGTCCCCTCAAAATAACACAACACACAGCCATTAATGTCTAAATCGCTGGCAACAAAAGTGAGTACACCCCTAAGTGAAAATGTCCAAATTGGGCCCAAAGTGTCAATATTTTGTGTGGCCACCATCATTTTCCAGCACTGCCTTAACCCTCTTGGGCATGGAGTTCACCAGAGCTTCACAGGTTGCCACTGGAGTCCTCTTCCACTCCTCCATGACGACATCACGGAGCTGGTGGATGTTAGAGACCTTGCACTCCTCCACCTTCCGTTTGAGGATGCCCCACAGATGCTCAATAGGGTTTAGGTCTGGAGACATGCTTGGCCAGTCCATCACCTTTACCCTCAGCTTCTTTAGCAAGGCAGTGGTCGTCTTGGAGGTGTGTTTGAGGTCGTTATCATGTTGGAATACTGCCCTGCGGCCCAGTCTCCGAAGGGAGGGGATCATGCTCTGCTTCAGTATGTCACAGTACATGTTGGCATTCACGGTTCCATCAATGAACTGTAGCTCCACAGTGCCGGCAGCACTCATGCAGCCCCAGGCCATGACACTCCCACCACCATGCTTGACTGTAGGCAATGCTTGTCTTTGTACTCCTCACCTGGTTGCCGCCACACACGCTTGACACCATCTGAACCAAATAAGTTTATCTTGCTCTCATCAGACCACAGGACATGGTTCCGGTAATCCATGTCCTTCGTCTGCTTGTCTTCAGCAAACTGTTTGCGGGCTTTCTTGTGCATCATCTTTAGAAGAGGCTTCCTTCTGGGACGACAGCCATGCAGACCAATTTGATGCAGTGTGCGGCGTATGGTCTGAGCACTGACAGGCTGACCCCCCCACCCCTTCAACCTCTGCAGCAATGCTGGCAGCACTCATACGTCTATTTCCCAAAGACAAACTCTGGATATGACGCTGAGCACATGCACTCAACTTCTTTGGTCGACCATGGCGAGGCCTGTTCTGAGTGGAACCTGGCCTGTTAAACCGCTGTATGGTCTTGGCCACCGTGCTGCAGCTCAGTTTCAGGGTCTTGGCAATCTTCTTATAGCCCAGGCCTTCTTTATGTAGAGCAACACTTATTTTTTTCAGATCCTCAGAGAGTTCTTTGCCATGAGGTGCCATGTTGAACTTCCAGTGACCAGTATGAGGGAGTGTGAGAGCGATGACACCAAATTTAACACACCTGCTCCCCATTCACACCTGAGACCTTGTAACACTAACGAGTCACATGACACCGGGGAGGGAAAATGGCTAATTGGGCCCAATTTGGACATTTTCACATAGGGGTGTACTCGCTTTTGTTGCCAGTGGTTTAGACATTAATGGCTGTGTGTTGAGTTATTTTTAGGGGACAGCAAATTTACACTGTTATACAAGCTGTACACTCACTACTTTACATTGTAGCAAAGTGTAATTTCTTCAGTGTTGTCACATGAAAAGATATAATCAAATATTTACAAAAATGTGAGGGGTGTACTCACTTTTGTGAGATACTGTAGGTGTTCCTTAATATATACAGGGACATTTAAGTTGATAGATTTCAAAATAAATTGGTACCAATGCAGTTGTTTTCTGTTTGAATTTAGTGATTCATACATTGTGCAATGATGTGTCTTATAATTGCACCCAATAATGAATTGGCAAAGATTGTTATAAATTACATTTAATTCGCTAAGTAAGGTCTTGGTTGTGTTTTTGTAGAGCTCACCATAGGATGTATTTCTAATGGATATAGTAAAACAATTCATAGATCTGTATAGTAACCCAAACTTATAGTTAACTGTTTTTCTAATATAATCAGAATCAATCCCAGATATTTCAAACAATCAACACATTCAACCCTTGCAACTATTCATACTGGCATGATGTTCCATAACTCATCCATGATCTATGTGAAACATATGACTGTGTGTCTGGAGTGTGTAACTGTGTGTGTGTTTGCAGGAACGGTCCGCAGGTTTCTCGAGAACCATGGAGAGAGCATAGAGATGGTGGTGTTCGCTGTGACGGACATGGAAGAGGTTTGTTCTTATATTCTTCTCTGCACATACCTGTGACGTTTACACATTCCTAGGTTTACATGCACGTAACTGCACTGGCTTATTCTTAGGGCAACCAACTTATTTTCTGGAGTGTAACTGAACTCAGGGTTATGTTTGGAGCTGTGTTTCGAAGTCCATGGTTTATTGTGATTATTCACTAATTTGTAATTCGTAGAGAACGTAAAATATTTCAAAGATGACATGAGTGTTCCAGTATAAGGTGATTATTGATGTCAAAAGAAGGTAAACACAACAGACCAACTATTTTATTGATAAGGAGAATACATTAGGGTTTTTGTGTTAGAATGCATGTGTGAGTGTGTGGCATTATCTTATATATGTATGTGTGTATGTATGTGTGTGTGTGTGTGTGTGTGTGTGTGTGGTTAACATCGTTTTTGTATGTGTCTTAGCCTACATACAGGAAGCTACTTCCTCTCTACTACCCTCGTTCTGAGGAAGAGGAGCGTGCCAGCCTGCCCCTAATCCCTGCCGACATTGGCAACTCGGAGGGTGAGCCTGTAGTCCCAGAGAGACAGATCCGCATCGCCGAGAAACCAGGCAGTCTGGAAGGTAAGACTACATTTCACATAACCCCCTAGGTGCGACTCATCTCCGAGCTGTAAAGCTGAACATGGTTTCAATATGTTTACCATAGTAACAACTTCCATTCCATGTAGGTGATGCATTGTATGAATACATGGTGATAATAGACCTGCTGCCACCAGCAGTCCTTCGTCTCTGTGCAGCAGCTGTAGATCCTGGAGTCTGAACAGCACATAACTGGCTAGTGCTGCCTAGTTTAGAAGCAGATTATCTGTGTCCATGGAGACACATTCAGTGGACATAGGAGAAGAATGCAGGATGATCTGTCATAGTCCAGTCAGTGGAACATCTCAGTCATACCCTCAGCCAGTGGTGGAACACACACACACAACACACAGACCGAGTGATGGATCTTACATCAGAGTGGAAGGCATTAGGAGCCGTCTAATTGTTAAATTAAACATGTCTTCCTGTTGATTAATATTTTCCACTGAGCACCATGCTGCACTGACAGGTGCACTAACTGCAGAGAGGAGGACATACAGTGCCTTTGGAAAGTATTCAGACTCCTTTATTTTTTCCACATTTTGTTACGTTACAGCCTTCTTCTAAAATGGATGACATACAACATTTTCCTCAGCAATCTACACACAATACCCCATAATGACAAAGCGAAAACAGGTTGTTAGATTCTTGCAAATTTATACAAAATAATAAACAGAAATACCTTATTTACATAAGTATTCAGACCCTTTGCTATGCGACTCGACATTGAGCTCAGGTGCATCCTGTTTCCATTGATCATCCTTGAAATGTTTCTACAACTTGATTGGAGTCCCATGTGGTAAATTAAATTGATTGGACATGATTTGGAAAGGCACACACCTGTCTATATAAGGTCCCACAGTTGACAGTGCATGTCAGAGCAAAAACCAAGCCATGAGGTCGAAGGAATTGTCCGTAGAGCTCCGAGACAGGATTGTGTCGAGGCACAGATCTGGGGAAGGGTAACTAAGCATTTCTGCAGCATTGAAGGTCCCCAAGAACACAGTGGCCTCCATCATTCTTAAATGGAATTAAATTTGAAACCACCAAGACTCTTCCTAGAGCTGGCCGCCCGGCCAAACTGAGCAATCGGGGGAGAAGGGCCTTGGTCAGGGAGGTGACCAAGAACCCGATGGTCACTCTGACAGAGCTCCAGAGTTCCTCTGTGGAGATGGGAGAACCTTCCAGAAGGACAACCATCTCTGCAGCACTCCACCAATCAGGCCTTTATGGTAGAGTGGCCAGATGGAAGCCACTCTTAAGTAAAAGGTACATGACAGTCCGCTTGGAGTTTGCCAAAAGGCACCTAAAGACTCTCAGACCATGAGAAACAAGATTCTCTGGTCTGATGAAACCAAAATGTAACTCTTTGGCCTGAATGCCAAGCGTTACGTCTGGAGGAAACCTGCCACCATCCCTACGGTGAAGCATGGTGGTGGCAGCATCATGCTGTGGGGATTTGGGAGACTAGTCAGGATCGAGGGAAATATGAACGGCGAAAAGTACAGAGAGATCCCTGATAAAAACCTGCTCCAGAGCGCTCAGGACCTCAGACTGGGGGCGAAGGTTCACCTTCCAACAGGACAACGACCCTAAGCACACAGCCAAGACAACGCAGGAGTGGGTTCGAGACAAGTCTCAATGTCCCTGAGTGGCCCTGCCAGAGCCCGGACTTGAACCCGATCGAACATCTCTGGAGAGACCTGAAAATAGCTGTGCAGCAACGCTCCCCATCCAACCTGACAGAGCTTGAGAGCATCTGCAGAGAAGAATGGGAGAACTCCCCAAATACAGGTGTGCCAAGCTTGTAGCGTCATACCCAACAAGACTCGATGCTGTAATCGCTGCCAAAGGTACTTCAACAAAGTACTGAGTAAAGGGTCTGAATACTTATGTAAATATGATATTTCAGTTATTTAAATTAAATAAATTAGCAAAAATGTCTAAAACCTTGTTTTTGCTTTCTCACTATGGGGTATTGTGTGTAGATTGATGAGGGGAAAAAACTATTTAATCAATTTTAGAATAAGGCTGTAACGTAACAAAATGTGGAAAAAGTCAAGGGGTCTGAATACTTTCCGAAGGCACTGTATGTCTTCAATAAAGGAATCCAAGATGGCCTCCCTCTTGTATTCAGATGTTTTCTGTGGTGCTGAATATGTTTCTCTTTCAGTAAGAGTGTTTTTAGTTTTGTTTATGTGTTTGTGTACTAAACTAAAGGACTGGACTGGTGTACTTTAGTTACTTGTGTTCATATTAGCCATGTGTATGTTTGTGTTAGTATCAACATTGTGTGTGTGTACCTCTCTTTGGATGACTGTTGTCCATATGGGGCTCAGCCCTAGATAGAAACTCCAGACCCAGAGGTGTCGATCCAAGACAAACAGGCTGTGTGTGTGTCAGGCCCAATGACAACAAACACTGGAATAAACACACACACACACACACACACACACTCCGCCTAATCCAGAGGGGCCATGGGTGAGCTGCTTCTCTTGCCTTGGGCTGGATGGCTCAGGACTGGGTGGACAGCCCAAGGTCTAGACACACACACCGGAGAAACAGGCCTGGTTTCACAACCAGTGAACATGTGATGTTTCATGCTGTGTTTGTGTGGCTTTTCACAGCAATGCTTTGAAAGATTATATTTGTTGATACAACATTGAGGGAGATTGTGTTTTATGTCTTTTAGAGTTGGAAGTAGTTTTCATAGAATGATGTGTGTGTGTACTGGATAGATGACTGTGAGGAGGAGACTCTGGACTCAGACCTGGGCCAGGTGGGGACTCATGCGTTTGCCCGGATGGAGGGAGATGTGGACAAACAGCGCAAACTCATCCTGCAGGGCCAGCTGTCTGATGCAACCATGCACAAACAGCACCAGAGAAAGTGAGTCTAACACAAGTTGTAAACAGAGATGGGCAGTATTTCTGTTACGTGTATTTGAAATACGTATTTGAATTATTTTGTATGTTGTATTACACTGAGCTGAACTACACTCCAATGTATTTTGTAACAAGATACTTTCGAAAGCTGTAATTAGTATTTTCAAAATACAATTCTATACCATTTCTTTATAGTGGTTCACAATTGTATGACCCCCTTTCACCCTACATTGGTATCAAACGTCTGATGGCACTATGGTGTAATAAGAGCGTCTGCTAAATGAACAAAATGTAAATATAAAAATGAACAATTGCCAAGTATTATTCTATTGAGCTCCTCCCCAAAACAAGGCCAATGGCAATACCCAGTGTGCTTTGCAATTGTTCATTTTCACATATACATTTACATTTTGGTCATTTAGCAGACACTCCTATCCAGAGTGACAGTGCATTCAACTAAGGTAGATGAACAACAATATATCACAGTCATAGCAAGTAAGACGTTTCTGTAACCGTTACTGAGAATGTTGTTTCTGTTCAGCCGGCTACTTGCAAATGTATTTTTGTATTTTAAAATACAAAACACATGTATTTTAATGAAATACGATACTTTGCAAAAGTATCTTATTCTATTTTGATACATTGGTCTTTAGGGTATTTTGTAGTTTTATGCCCATCCCTGCTTGTACACTACATTCCTACCATGCATTTATTAACATTCACAGTACACCCTAAGCAGTACAGTACTGAGTGTTGACATAATGTGTTATAACGCTCCTGTTGTCGCAGTTATAACCGCTGGTTATGTCGAGCCAGGGCAGAGGACTTGTCTGACATAGCAGCACTGAAAGCCTTATATCAAACTGGTGAGTCGAGAGAGAGTGTGTTCGTGCGTGCGTGCATCTTTTTTCTTTATGTGTTTGATCTCTGGTGGGTTGGGGACGGAAATCCTTTTTCCAGCTCATTGAACACAGCATCAGGGGGTGAGATAATCCGTTTTCTCATTTTTCGTTCTCAGGATTAAAAATGGCCAGTAATGAAACGGCCTCCGTGGTCATGGCAGGACGTCTTACTCTCATTCTCTCCCTCTTTCTCTTACACTCTGTCTATATCTCTTGCCTCATTCTCTCTGTTCACACTCTTTCATTTGGTTTCATTTAGTTATTTGGTTCATTCATTTGTATTTATTTTTCAGGCGATAGTGATTATGTAGTGGGGCTCATAACACCCTCCTATTTCAGTGAGTGTAATTGTCCCATGTTTCCTCTAGGAGGCAGCGTAGTAACACTGGCAGGCCACTGGGCCAGAATCTGTGATGTGATGTGTGTGTGTGTGTGTGTGTGTGTGTGTGTGTGTGTGTGTGTGTCCACAGGTGTTGACATGTGTGGCAGGACGGTGATGGTTCTTGTGGGCAGAAATATTCCTGTCACCCTCATCGACATGGAAAAGGTACCAGGCCTCATTCGGAGGCAACATCATGAACATTACTGTTTTAATGGTTCGATAGAAAACAGATTAATATTGTTGCTCTGTGAGAAAGCCTTAACCGCTCCACCATGTGTGTGTCTCCACTGCAGGCCCTGTTGTACTTCATCCATGTCATGGATCACATCACAGTGAAGGAGTATGCAATGGTTTACTTCCACACTCTGACCGGAGAACACAACCATCTAGACTCTGAATTCCTTAAGAAGCTCTACGAGATTGTAGACGCCAAGTAAGACACATACACCACACGTGTTATTGATATAGTGAGGCGAGAGAGAGCTAGATTAACTGAAGGCAATAGAGACAATTAGACTGTTTGTTACCAGATATGACGTGCAAATCAAATCTGAACGTGTAAGATGAAACTGGTCTTCAGCAAGTCCTATCCATGAATGAGGTTTTACCATGAAATCGTTCTGGGCTCCATGATCTGTCAGTTTGTTATTTAGAGTACAGTTGGCTCATCCTCCAGTAAGACCAGTGCAGGTTTATCACCTTTTTGTATAGCATCCAAACATATTGTTCACACTACCATGAAGCCAAGGAGCTCGGAGACGGTTTCCAAAAAGTGATGCATTGGCAGTGAGGCGCCCCAAATCAGAGACGCTAACATTATGAAAGCATTAGCATTTCTTGCCAGCTCTACAACCTTCACTGAACAAACAGCCTGTTGCAGACAACAATCGGCCATGAATGAACTTCATGTGCAATTAAAGAAAACAGCATCAGGTTCTGTGTGACTTTAAAAAAATCTCCCCTCTTCTGTTTCAAGACTAAGAAAAGCACCATACACTTTAACTTAGCAGTACCAATGTCAACACTATACACCCTAACCTTACGTGCCTCTCTGCTTGCCTCTATTTGAGTCTAAGATGAGGTCAACCACTAAACACTTTTTTTCTGTCTACTCACACCATCACACTGGACTGGAGCTGAAAACCACATACTGCCAATGAAAACCAGAAGCCTTCTCACCCTCAACCCTACAGCCATAGAAAAGGCAGCTCCAGTCACACCCACACTATCTCCTCAGCAGTGGGCAGTTTCACCCAGTCATTCTGAGACATCTAGAGGGAGATATTGACTGTCAATCAGTCTCTGGACATACTACACAACTTCCTCTTTTGTGAAGAATGGAGATTCCAGTCTGAAGCTAGTTTTTATAGTCATTGAAAAATTCTTAATCCGACCGTATCTGTTGGGGTTTTTATCTAGTGTTCCTTTGATATAACAGAAAGTAATCTCACTTATTAGTAGATCAACTGAGTTTCCACCAAATCAAATCTTATTTGTCACATGCGCCGAATACAACAGGAGTAGACCTTACAGTGAAATGCTTACTTACAAGCCCTTAACCAACAATGCAGTTTTAAGAAAAGTAAGTGTTAAGTAAAAAATTGATAAGTAAAAAAAAAAAAAAAAAAAAGGAACAAATAATTAAAGAGCAGTAGTAAAATAACAGTAGCGAGGCTATATACAGGGGGTACCGGTACAGAGTCAATGTGCGGGGCCACAGGTTAGTCGAGGTAATATGTACATTTAGCTAGAGGTAAAGTGACTATGCATAGATAATAAATAGTAGCAGCAGCGTAAAAAGAGGGGGGAGGAGGGGGGGGGGGGACAATGCAAATAGTCTGGGTAGCCATTTGATTAGCTGTTCAGGAGTCTTATGGCTTGGGGGTAGAAGCTGTTAAGAAGCCTTTTGGACCTAGACTTGGCGCTCTGGTACCGCTTGCCGTGCGGTAGCAGAGAGAACAGTCTATGACTAGGGTGGCTGGAGTCTTTGGCAATTTTTAGGGCCTTCCTCTGACACCGCCTGGTATAGAGGTCCTGGATGGCAGGAAGCTTGGCCCCAGTGATGTACTGGGCCATACGCACTACCCTCTGTAGTGCCTTGTGGTCGGAGGCCGAGCAGTTGCCATACCAGGCGGTGATGCAACCAGTCAGGATGCTCTCGATGGTGCAGCTGTATAACTTTTTGAGGATCTGAGGACCCATGCCAAATCTTTTCAGTCTCCTGAGGGGGAATAGGCTTTGTCGTGCCCTCTTCACGACTGTCTTGGTGTGTTAGGACCATGATAGTTTGTTGGTGATGTGTGCACCAAGGAACTTGAAGCTTTCAACCTGCTCCACTACAGCCCCGTTGATGAGAATGGGGGCGTGCTCAATCCTCCTTTTTCTGTAGTCCACAATCATCTCCTTTCCCACAACGTGATCAAGACAGAGGTTGTTGTCCTGGCACCACACGGCCTGGTGTCTGACCTACTCCCTATAGGCTCTCATCGTTGTCGGTGATCGGGCCTACCATTGTTGTGTCGTCGGCAAACTTAATGATGGTGTTGGAGTCATGCTTGGCCATGCAGTCATGGGTGAACAGGGAGTACACGGGGGACTGAGCACGCACCCCTGAGGGGCCCCCGTGTTGAGGATCAGCGTGGCAGATGTGTTGTTACCTACCTTTACCACCTGGGGGCAGCCCGTCAGGAAGTCCAGGATCCAGTTGCAGAGGGAGGTGTTTAGTCCCAGGGTCCTTAGCTTAGTGATGAGCTTTGAGGGCGCTATGGTGTTGAACGCTGAGCTGTAGTCAATTAATAGCATTCTCACGTAGGTGTTCCTTTTGTCCAGGTGGGAAAGGGCAGTGTGGAGTGCAATCGAGATTGCATCATCTGTGGATCTGTTGGAGCAGTATGCAAATTGGACTGGGTCTAGGGTTTCTGGGATAATGGTGTTGATGTGAGCCATGACCAACCTTTCAAAGCACTTCATGCCTACAGATGTGAGTGCTACGGGTCAGTAGTCATTTAGGCAGGTTACCTTAGTGTTCTTGGTCACAGGGACTATGGTGGTCTGCTTGAAACATGTTGGTATTACAGACTCAGACACTTGCCAGTTGGTCAGCGCATGCTCGGAGTACACATCCTGGAAATCCATCTGGCCCTGCGGCCTTGTGAATGTTGACCTGTTTAAAGGTCTTACTCACATCGGCTACGGAGAGTGTGATCACACAGTCGTCCGGAACAGCTGATCCTCTCATACATGCTTCAGTGTTGCTTGCCTCGAAGCGAGCATAGAAGTGATTTAGCTCATCTGGTAGGCTCGTGTCACTGGGCAGCTCGCGGTTGTGCTTCCCTTTGTAGTCCGTAATAGTTTGCAAGCCCTTCCACATCCGACATTCCACATTCCACATCCGACGACCAATAAAAAGGACTGGCGACATTAGGAACTCTGTTTTGGTGAGCTCTTTAGAGTTGGCTTTTGGACTTAGCAGAGATCTGTTTTGGAAATGACTATTCTATCCCTAGGCCTAGACCAAGAAGAGAACCTCAAGAACCTGTCTGGCTGGGGAGATGAGGGAGTGAGAGGCTGTTCCACCATGGAGACAGATGGGTTAGAATTTGGCCCTAAAGGATTGTCCCTGGCCCAAACAAGGCCATATTCTACCTCCCTGTAGTGTCTTCGAGGTCTCTCAGAACACTGATGAAACTGGTTAAATGGTAATTTGCTTGAGGCGGTTTTTGCAAGTGCCCTGTAAGCTTGTACTGGCTATGGGTGGTTACTGTGAACACAATGTACCTCCAAAAGATGATGGGTTTGTTCCACATTATATGAAATGGGACTAAAACCATGTAATTACATGGTAGTTACATAGGCAGGTTTAGTGTATTGATATTGCAAGTACATTGGTAGTCTATGTCGGAGAGGCGTGGGAAAGGGTAGAGGGTTGTGTCTTTGTTTGTGTTTCCGTGTGTGCAGGTTTCCGTGCTCTTGGATGGCCTTGGGTTAATTTTGGGGGGGACAGTACCATGTGCCTTGGTCTGAGGAAATCGCTACATTTGGAGCAGTTTCATGGACATTTGTCCGTTTTGTAAAAATGCACTCTCTTCTTTCTGGACATTTTTTATATATTGCTGTTTTTTTCTTCTTCTCAATAAGCACAAATATAAGTCATCGTTATAATAATAATGACAACTATGTAACATGCTAGCCAATAGTGATGTGTTTGTGAATTAATTCTGTAGTTGATGTTTTTTGCTTTGTTTTATATTCCAGGTTTAAGAAGAACTTGAGGGCTTTCTACTTTGTACACCCCTCGTTTCGCTCCAAGGTAAAGTACAGTACTTCCCTTTTACTGCTTCTCCAAACTCTGGTATATGTATTTATACTACTGTGTCTAAAAGGCATTGCTGTTATATGTATTTACTGTGCATTCGGGAAGTATTCGGACCCCTTGACTTTTTCCACATTTTGTTACGTTACAGGCTTGAAAAATGGATTCAATTGTTTTTTCCCCCTCATCAATCTACACACAATATCCCATAATGACAAAGCATTTTTTTGTGCATTTTTTAATATTTTTTTAAATAACTGAAATATCACATTTACATAAGTATTCAGACCCTTTACTCAGTACTTTGATGAAGCACCTTTGGCAGCGATTACAGACTTGAGGCTTCTTGGGTATGACGCTACAAGCTTGGTATTTGGAGAGTTTCTACCATTCTTCTCTGCAGATCCCCTCAAGCTCTGTCAGGTTAGATAGGGCGAGTCTCTGCACAGCTAAGTCCGGGCTCTGGCTGGGCCACTCAAGGACATTCAAAGACTTGTCCCGAAGCCACTCCTGCGTTGTCTTGGCTGTGTGCTTAGAGTCGTTGTCCTGTTGGAAGATTAACCTTCACCCCAGTCTGAGGTCCTGAGCATCTCTCTGTACTTTGCTCCATTCATCTTTCCCTCGATCCTGACTAGTCTCCCAGTCCCTGCTGCTGAAAAACATCCCCACAGCATGATGCTGCCACCACCATGTTTCATCGTAGGGATGGTGCCAGGTTTCCTCCAGACATGACGCTTGGCATTCAGGCCAAAGAGTTCAATCTTGGTTTCATCAGACCAGAGAATCTTGTTTCTCATGGCCTGAGTGTCTTTAGGTGCCTTTTGGTAAACTCCAAGCGGACTGTCATGTCATTATGGGTTATTGTGTGTAGATTGATGAGGAAAATGTAATCCATTTTAGAATAAGGCTGTAACGTAACAAAGTGGAAAAAGTTAAGAGGTCTGAATACTTTCCGAATGCACTGTATACTACTGTGTCTACAAGGCATTGTTGGGATATGTACATACGCTACGGTTGGGGACAATTCCATTTCAATTCAGGAGGTACACTGAAATTCCAATTCTCTTCAATGATTTTCAATGAGGAAAACTTGGAATTGGAATTTGGTTTACTTTCTGAATTGACTGGAATTTAAATGAAATTGACCCCTACCCCGGTATATACTATATATGTATTCAGTGTATGTACAATGCAACAATCTCTTTGGCTGCTTTGACGCCACTGTGTTTTCAAACCTCTGTCTAGTTCACAACCTTTTCTGACCTAGAACTGCAGGGCTCTACACACACGCGCACAGCCCTTTAGATGGGACAAGGCTCACAGTGTAGCAATGTACTAATTGGTTGATTTTAAAGGATCCATGATCTCAGAGGTAGCCCTGAGGTGTGTATGACTGACGGGGCTAGGCATTGTGGGAAATGGGTTTAAATGGTTTGGAATGAGAAGCAGAGCTACTAAAGAGCAGAGTGGAAGTCTATTGGCGATATTCAATCAAACCTAATAAGTGGATTTTAGGGAGAAGTAAATTAGTTTCAATAGACTACCTCTTAAACACAGAGGAATGCTTCAGCCAAAACGCATCCATGCTTGGTAAACAAACCAGTATTACAATTGAGCATTTAGGCCAGGTTTCCCAATCCGGACACAAGACTAACAAAGAACTTTCAATGGAGAAAGTGGTTCATCTGTGTCCGGGAAACAGGCACTGTTATCCCCCACCTATTTTTGTTGTTGTTGCTATTTCCACTATTACCAGTGTTTTTCGATGTATCTGATCTTATCATGTTAATTTATCTGTGTGTCAGGTGTCCACCTGGTTCTTCACAAGGTTCAGTGTGTCAGGGATGAAGGAGAAGGTCCATCATGTAGAGACCCTCCAGCAGCTCTTCACCTGTATCCTGCCTGAACAGATAGACATCCCCCCCTTCGTCCTGGAGTATGACGCACGGGTGAGGCCCTACACACTACTCTGTCTAGTTTACTAACCTTGTTGACCGACATCTGCAAGGCTCCACGCACTCACACACATTCACTCAAGCATTCAGAATTGTGGGTACAGTGCATTCGGAAAGTATTCAGAGCCGTTCACTTTTTCCACATTTTGTTACGTTACAGCCTTATTCTAAAATGTATTAAATAAATGTTTGGCCTCATCAATCTACACACAATACCCAACGAATGACAAAGTGAAAATAGGTTTTAGAAATATTTGCTAATTTATCAAATTAAATTAAAAAATACACTACCGGTCAAAAGTTTTAGAACACCTACTCATTCAAGGGTTTTTCTTTTCTTTTTACTATTTTCTACATTGTAGAATAATAGTGAAGACATCAAAACTATGAAATGACACATTTGGAATCATGTAGTAACCAAAAAAGTGTTAAACACATCAAAATACATTTTATATTTGAGATTCTTCAAATAGCCACCCTTTGCCTTGATGACAGCTTTGCACACTCTTGGACCTGAAAATAGCTGTGTAGCGACGCTCCCTATCCAACCTGACAGAGCTTGAGAGGATCTGCAGAGAAGAATGGGAGAAACTCCCCAAATATTTACATTTACATTTTAGTCATTTAGCAGACGCTCTTATCCAGAGCGACTTACAGTTAGTGAGTACATACATTTTTCATACTTTTTTTCAAATACAGGTGTGCCAAGCTTGTAGCTTCATACCCAAGAAGACTCGAGGCTGTAATCGCTGCCAAAGTTGCTTCAACAAAGTACTGAGTAGAAGGTGTGAATACTTATGTAAATGTAATATTTCAGTTTTTTATTTTTTATACATTTGCAAACATTTCTAAAAACCTGTTTTTTGCTTTGTCATTATAGGGTATTGTGTGTAGATTTTATTTTTATTTAAGGCTGTAACGTAACAGAATGTGGAAAAAGTGAACGAGTCTGAATACTTTCCGAATGCACTGTATATTCCCACATTGTATCAGATTCTAAGTGTTGCACTTGTGTGTGTTACGATTTAAAATGTAACATGTACCTTATCTTCTTCTGACTATTTTTGTTGGGTTCAAAGGACCCAATTGTCTGCAAAAAGAAAAATGGCAGTTTGGTCAATTTGTTGTAATGGTTGTGATCCATCACTGGAAATGAAACGGGAATTGTTATGTAGTTGAATACAATTGAGTTATTTATCCTGGGTTATTTCAAGGTCACTGGTCACAGAATCACAAAGATGTCATTAAATGGTTTCTAAATGGAGGTTTGTTTCTTAAAAAAGCAGTGAGGGTGGTTGAAAAGCGATATGAAGTTACTTTGGGCCTGCTCACTAAAAATAGTCCATCAAAACGTGGGGCGGGAAACACGGCTCTTTGGGAATTACCATGGGGAACACTACAGTAGATTAATTCTACTGCAGGAGCGAGAGGTAGAGAGAAAGAGGTAGACCAACCAACAGTGAGACAATGAAGTACAGCACTATAGCAAATGACCAAAAGGTCATGAATGTATGAGGAGGACCTCTCATATCTTATCTAATGTCAAAGTTCCCTTAAACAGCACATTGCCAAGACTGATGTTGTAGTAGTTTCTGTTGCCTAGGGGCATTCCACTCTGTGTTCTATGGTTATATGCTTGACCTGAATAATATGTATGCAATCCTCTGGGCTGTTTTTACAATATCCTGTAAACTGCATGTCTTTAGAATTAGATCATGTATTGTACTGTATATAACATGGAGCCCTTACAACGACACCAAGTAGCTTGTTTATTTTGTCTTTCTTGCTACGTGGATATTATTGTACCCATTTGTTTTCCAGATGTTTTATTGAGACATAACACCCACTCGGACCCCCCCATGTATCCATATAAGATGGATGTAAACACTTGATATTCCTTTTAGTATATTTACACAGGTCTGTGTGTTTTACTCTAAACTCAATTTGTCATCCAGAGTTATCAATCTTAATCAGATGGAAACCAGAACTGAAAATAATGAGAGTAACACAATGGCTCTTTAAAATATTTAATTTGATCTTGTGTTGACATAAGTCAGAGAGGGGAAATTATGCAATCACTCCTTTTTTTGTCTTTTTTGGTTGTTGCAATCACTCCTTACTGGCTCTGGGTGACTCATTTGTTAGTTTGTGGCGTTGGTTAATTTGTAAGCTCAAATACTTGATTATGCTGATCTTTCTCTTCTTGTTCTTGTTTTGCCTGGGTCTGTGTTGGTTTAGATTGTCCTTGTTTTGCCTGGGTCTGTGTTGGCTTAGATTGAGTAAGGAATGTCTTTGAAGTGGAGGCTCCATTATGGATTTATGGATCTATCTGACTGTAGATTATTTGAGTTGATGTTGCACAGTGTTGCACTTCTTCTAGCTCTTAATGCTAACTATGGTAACCATCTCAGTCTCTCCCCTCGCTACCCTGGCCTATGAGTGCATCAGCATCTGCGTTCAACTGCAGAGCGGCTGGCGATAGCCCTTCAAATGATCCAAGCGTTGGTCCCATTTGGATTTAGCCACAAGGCTGTGGACAGAGATTATTACTGTGCACCAGCCTGCTTACCACTTTCTAAGGGAGAAAAACTGGAACACTGAGATGTCCACCGTTACAAAAATGTACCAGAAAAACACTGCCATTAAATTATTTTATATCAGTGCAGGCTCCTCAGAGGAGGAAGGGGAGGACCATCCTTCTCAGTAAATTTCATAAAAATTAAAATAGTGCAACATTAGTGATCATTTTTAGATAAAACTATACTAAATACACTGAGTATACAAAACATAAATAACACCTGGTCTTTCCATAACATAGACTGACCAGGTGAATCCAGGTGAAAGTTATGTAAGGGATAATCAACGAGGGGCTATGCGTTCTCTGGAAAATAATGAACAACGTGGAAGCTGTGTTCCACGATGCGCTAGCGGAGTGGAACTGACATTCCACGGAGTTGCATTATTTTCCAGAGAACGCATAGAGCCCCGAGTTGATTATCCCTTTTATACCATGGCTATAATTGAACACATTTGCCACTAGAAATGTGTTCAACATCCACTGAAGTGGAGAGCAAGTTTACTAGATGACTACAGTAGTTGTCGTGGTAACCAAACAGACTTGCTAGTTTAGCTAACCAAACCATCAGTCCTAGCTTGCCATTATGAAAATTGAATTCAACAATGCCAATAATGTTTTCAATTCGACTTTTGCTTTCAAAAAGCAGCTCAAACAGAACGTGTAAGAATGAACTATAGCCATTGAATTCTACCGTGCAAATATACCATGCATTATAGGGAATTATAAACTGCGTGGTTCGAGCCCTGAATGCTGATTGGCTGACAGCCATGGTATATCAGACCGTATACCATTTATTTTTACTGCTCTTATTACATTGGTAACCAGTTTATAATAACAATAAGGCACCTCGGGGGTTTGTTGTATATGGTCAATATACCACAGCTAAGGGCTGTATCCAGGCACTCTGCATTGCATTGTGCATAAGAACAGCTCTTAGCCGTGGTATATTGGCCATATATCACACCCCCTCGGGCCTTATTGCTTAATTATACAACGGGTGGATCTAATCCTGAATGCTGATTTGGTTAAAACCGCATTCCAGCAGGTGTCTATTCCACAAGTTACCACCTATTTACTGTTTTCCAACTGACTGCGCAATCCACTGTCTCATCAGCCCAGCCAGGCAATTTATAAACTTAATCTCCACTATAAAAAGCATCTAGACTTTTTTCTCAGCCAGTCGAAATCATGAATCAGCTGGCATAATTTTATGGATATATACAAAGACATTTCAATAGAAAACGGGTAAAACGAAATGAAATGCAGCTAGTTTGCTGTCTTTCCAGCTTCAGTTCGAAGTGATTGTGTTAGCAGTGTCCTGATGAGAGCATATTTTCAATGCCAGGCGAAGTTGTGCATCATTAGCTCATTGTTATAAATGTACCCAAATAAATAAAGCTAGAAAACAGCTTAAACAAACGCAAATGCAGCTACTTTGCTATTATTCTGTCTGCACTGTTTGACGTGACTGCAAGTTAGCCGTAGAGAATTAATCTAGTACTGAAAGCAAAAGCTACAGCTAGCTAGCACTGCAGTGCATAAAGTGTGGTGTAGTTTACTCCGAGGGAGAAAGGCAATAGTTGAACAGTTTTTAACAATGTACGTTCTTAAAAAATTAAGGAGAAGCAGCAGAGGGAGAGCTAACTATATTTCATTGTATATTTTTTTCTTCTTAGTTTACCTTTCACATACTTAGCTAATGCAGCTAATTTAGCCTACTCAACAACCTGACTCAGAAAGGAATGCTATTTATGTTAGCTAGCTGGCTAAGGCTATCCAACACCGCAACTCTTCCAAGTCAAGGTTCGCTTTCAGTTTTATTCATTTATTGCCACCGGGGCCCGCTGGTGTAACTGCTTGCTGTACACTGTACTGTGTGATTGTACACATGGATTGGATAGTGGGTTTACTAACGTGTTAATTCTAGTTTGTTGACTTTAATGTTAATATGGTGACAACGATGTAGGCTATGTAGTGATTATTATTTAACGTTTATGGTATGAAGGTTTGGCTTGGAGAGGTTTTTGTGCCTGGTTACAGACAGCTGTTGTGTTGTACTGAAGTCCACAAGCAAAGGGAAAAGGTGAGAGGAGGAGAGTGCGTAGATGCGAGAAGGAATTATACAATGAGCGAAGTGATGAATGCTTTATGTGGCTGCAATGAAAGTGAACTGTGGGTGAGCAGGGGTGTATTCATTACGCCGATTCTGTTGCAAAATGTTTCTTAAATGGAAGCAAATGAAACGAGGGACCTACCTGAATTTGTCCAAAATAAACTATTGTTTTGTTTGGACTAATGATTACTAATGATTACACCACAGATCCGCTAGATGCAGGCAAGAGTGTGCAAGGCAGTATTGAATGTGTCACTATCTGTCACCTTGATTACTCCAATTTGTCTCTCAACCTGTGCACCTACATTATAAACTTTAATTTGTAGGCTAGGTTGTAGCAACCTCATGATGGGTATAGGGCAAATTCGAGTATCATGAAGTAACCTTTCAATGTTACTTTGAGCAGGGTGAATAGAATATGAATGACAGTCATTCAATATGCTGTAATAGAAATAAGGCCTTGCTCATTGAAAAAAAATATCCTCCCTAATCTTGAACGGCAACGACCACCACTGTTTTATATAGAAGGGATGTTTATTCAGTAGGCATTCCTATCCAGAGACATTTAGTTGGAAATGCCAGTTTGTATATTTACTCAGGTTTGTGTGTTCTACTCAACTCCATTTGTCACTGGAGTTATCTAACTAAATCAGAGGCAAACCAGGCCTACAAATTAATGAGAGAATTATACAATGTCTCTTTAATATCTTTTATTTGATCTTTCATTACGCTTTCATTGCCTTTTTTGGTAACGTCTCTGGATTTTGCAGTCAAAATGCTCTCGGCTGACTACTGCACACACACACAGTGCTGTGTGTAACCTGATAGAAAAACCTAAAACATCAAGCAATGTCTATAACCTCATTATAATGACAATACCCTGTACTGTATGTGTTTGTCTCTGTGTATTTTAGGTGAATGGTGCTTACCGCCCCTCCCACTCCTCCAGCCTGTGAATGGACCAATCAGAACTCAGACCGAGAGATATCAAAGGCCAAGGACTATTTTAGACTCACTACATCTACAGTCACTTAACTGGCTCCACTTCCTGGTTTTGACCAGCAGGAACTCTGTGGTTTAGCTCCTTGACCAGATTATAAGACACCCAGGGCATCAGTGGTCCTAGGTGGATTTTGAGTGGGATTTTGCTCTGCCTGGGAACTCACAAGGACAGTATGACACTCTGAGAAGCCTGGATACTAATGAACCTAGGATTATGTTTTTTATTAGGGGTGTGATACAATCAGATGACAGACAGACAAATGGGTCTCTCTGTGACGGAGCCTGTGGAACTCGCCTACCTATCCCAGGACACACCAGTGGCCTGTCTTAATCCTGCCTGTGTGTGTGTGCAGGCGAGAGACATCAGTCATGTTTCAAATGTTTAATTTTTGCACAACTTCAACCTTCAACAACTAGGTTGAAGGTTATATGTGTTCACAATCACAAGCTGTTTTTAGGTGTCCCAGAACCTAGTGTCCACACTATCCTTTTCCACCTTCTCTGTTTCTTATTGAATGCACATGGTTGAAATCGTTTATCAAGTTTATGGAAACTAGCATGTGCCTCACATGAAACACAATGATACCATAAACATAATTCTACTACGCTCAAACCTACTGCTTTTTTCAGAATACCAAATGAACTTTGTGTTAGCCATGCAGTCATATTCTTCATACGTACGTTAACTTGATTTCTCCTTTGTTACCTACTCTGTTATATTGTGCTATTATTTCAATGTATGCCAGCCTTGCTCTTCTGTCAATGAACACACATGCTTTCCTGAGACATTAGTGAATAAAATACTGTATTGAGAGCCACACATTGTATAGGCTATATAGTAGTTCATGGTTGAGTATCAGCTGAAGTTAGTCTTGTTTTAGTGGTCCATAGAGAAAAGATGTAGTCATCTGAGATTTGAGCTGCATCCTAATACATTCTGTCCCAATACATTCTGTGCCAAGATAGAGACTTTTTAATTTCGAGGTAAATACGTGAAAATAAACAGTCGTACCATTCTGATCTATGCTGTCCTTGTTGCGTGTTTTGAAATTTGATCTGCTGTTGATCCATATTGTGAGGGGTTGTGCGCTTTTGGGAAATACACTCATACATTGTTTTTGTGCACTTTGATTGGACTTTTGTTGAGCCAGTTCCTTCTGATATCAAGCCACGGGTCAGTTATATCCCCTAACCTAACTTCTCATTAATCACAACAAGGAACATTAAAAATACTTTGTCAAGATTCTTGTTCAGTGTAGGATTGTTGGGTCTAGTAATTCAGTTTGAGAACACTTGCATGTATGAACATACTGTACTTAAATATATTAATTACAATTATTAAAGTGCTTAAAAATAGCTTCTGTCAAACTGTGTTATGGAAAACGTCTGTGCTGTGGCCCCACAACCCTGTAAGAACAGGGGATAAAAAGAGGGAGAAGGCGACAGATAAGCAGTGGCGGGATAAACAGCAGGTGTTTCACACAGAATCACTTTTTCCACAGAAAAGAGACATCTCTTCCAGGAAGCTGTGAAGTGGTCTCTCTGATTAAAACTTGTCCTCTCGCCTCTTTTTTACTCTCTTTTCTTCTCCTCCACTCCTCTCACCCTGTCCTTCCACCTGCCCTCTCCCTAACCTTCCATCCATCCTTCACCAATTCCCTCCTTTTATCATTTATCTTTTTTGATCCATTTGTTAATCAAAGCCGAATTATAGCTTTGGATGGAGACAAAGATGGGAGAGCGGGATGGGATGACGAGGCAGCTAGAAGAGAGGGGGTAAATCCATCATCCACAGACCTCACTCTGTGATCGAGGGATTAGTTGGGTACAATTGTGTGGCGGACACAGCAACACACACATAAACCTGGCCATCTTTCGCTCTGCTCTCTGGAGTGGAGAGGGGTCAGGAGGATCAACACTGCTACACTAACGGGGATTAAGAGACAAAGTTTCTGATCACAGAAAGTGTGTTCTGTTTATGGCTTTCAGTTTAACTGATTTTGCCCTACTGGAGGATGAAGAAGGCTAAGGCCCAAAGCACGTCCTTTGGAGTGCTGCCCATTCCATTCTCTATGTAGCTGTTGATGACCACTGAGTAAAGGACTTCAGTCCCAATGGGCGCTCTCTTATGTGAATGCAATCAGGGTTGTCAATGATCACCATACGCCTGAGTCCATTACATCTTACTTTCTTTGATGTTGGATTTATACAGACTCCTCCACTGAATAGAGCAAACGTGACTTCCCAATGTCCATATCAGTAATTACTTACAGTTACACACGCTCAGGAGAATAGCCTTTGAACAGATCACCATCAAACCACAATTCTATAGTACACAGAGTGGATGAGACCTACAAGTGACCTTGGCCTTGATTGTAAAGCATGTAGTCTAAGGCTCACCATTGCACATTTCTGTCCATGAGCGCAGCCAAGAATTACTCCTCTGAAATATCTTCACTCTTTCATGTTGGCAAACACTGACTAATGTTACTTTAATGAACTACCCATTCATCAAATATTGTCTGCTATAGAAAGAGAGAAAGAGGGCCAGAGAGAGAGAGAACACTACCTGGTCCAGAATCAACCCTTTATGTGGCTCCTGGAATTGGCCTCTCTGGGAGCAGCACAGCTAATGCCTACATAATTAATACAATCTCCCCAAATGATTATGGTCTAAGTCGGCAACAGTATTGGTCAAGTCAACCAGTATTTAAGGTCACAGCCATACGTAATTTCTTAACTATGTTTGGATTACCAATAAATCTGTTTACTTGATTAAAACGGTACACCCCCCCTGTTTATCTACAAATGCTCATAGATTTATCTGTCTTTTATTAAAGGGGTTAGAGGAAGATGGCACTGCAGTGGATAGCTGCTGTCTTACGGGCTCCTGACCAATTATGCAAAATGTTCGTTTTTTTGCTGATCGTAACTTTTCTTTAACATAATATTTCCGCCATCATTTCCTATGACTGAAATCCGCTTCTCGACATCAGAACAGTGACCACTAACCTCGATTTGGATGAAGATTTCTACATCAACAAGTCGGCAGCTGTGGATGTACTGCTCATCCCGGACCAGGCCCTAATACTCGGGACTCGAAAGAGGAAGCGAGCGGGCTCCCTGACGAGACTACGTCGGCAAGTAAATAAACCGCCTCTACCCTCCATTATATCGCGAACGTACAATCACTAGAGAATAAACTGTGATCAACGGGACCTGAAGAACTGTAATATCCTATGCTTCTCGGAGTCGTGGCTGAACAAGGACATGGTTTTTCTATGCATCGTGAAGACAGAACGGCAGCTTCGGATAAGGTTAAAGGGAGAGGTGTGTGTCTCTTTGTTAACTGCAGCTGATGCACGATCTCTAATGTTAAGGTTTTGGTCACCTGAGTTAGAATACCTCATGATAAACTGAAGACCATACTATTTACCAATTTTTCATAGCTGTCTATTTACCACCACAAACCAATCCTGGCACTAAGACCGCACTCAACAAGCTATATAGGGCCTTAAGCAAACAAGATCATGCACATCCAGAGGCGGCGCTCCTAGTGGCCAGTGATTTTAATGCAGTGAAACTGAAATCCGTTTTACCTAATTTTTACCAGCATGTCACCTGTGCAACTAGAGACGGAAAAACTCTAGATTACCTTTACTCCACACACAAAAACGCATACAAAGCTCTCCCTTGCCCTCCATTTGGCAAATCTGACCATAACTCTATCCTCCTGATTCCTGCTTACAAGCAAAAACTAAAACAGGAAGTACCGGTGACGCGCTCAATAATGAAGTGGTCTGATGAAGCTGATGCTAAGCTACAGGACTGTTTCGCAAGCACAGACTGGAATATGTTCCGGAATTAAACCAATAACATTGAAGAGTTTACAACATCAGTCACCAGCTTCATTAATAAGTGCATCGACGACGTCATCGCCACAGCGACAGTACGTACATATCCCAACCAGAAGCCATGGATTACAGGCAACATCCACACTGAGCTAAAGGCTTCCACTTTCAAGGAGCGGGACACTAATCCGGACGCTTATAAGAAATCCCGCTACGACCTCCAACGAGCCATCAAACAGTCAAAACGTCAATACAGGACTAAGATCTAATCCTACTACGACGGATCTGATGCTCATCGGATGTGGCAGGGCATGTAGACTATCACGTATTATAAAGGGAAACCCAGTCGCAAACTGGCCAGTGACGTGAGCCTACAAGTCGAGCTAAATTCCTTCTATGCTCGCTTCGAGGCAAACAACACTGAACCACGCATGAGAGCACCAGGTGTTCCGGATGACTGTGTGATCTCGCTCTCCGTAGCTGATGTCAGTAAGAGCTTTAAACAGGTTAACATTCACAAGGCCGCAGGGCCAGACGGATTATCAGGACGCGTACTCAGAGCATGCGCTGATCAGCTGGCAAATGTCTTCACTGACATTTTCAACCTCTACCTGACACAGTCTGTAATACCTACATGTTTCAAGCAGACCACCATAGTCCCTGTGCCCAATTACTATAGCCCCGTAGCATTCACATCTGTAGCCATGAAATGCTCACATCATGGCTCACATCAACACCATTATCCCAGACACCCTGAACCCACTCCAATCTGCATACCGCCCCAACAGATCCACAGATGATGCAATCTCGATTGCACTCCACACTGCCCTCTCCCACCTGGACAAGAGGAGAATGCTGTTAATTGACTATAGCTCAGCGTTCAACACCATAGTGCCCTCCAAGCTCATCACTAAGCTCAGGACCCTGCGACTGAACACCTCCCTCTGTAACTGGATCCTGGACTTCCTGACGGGCCTCCCCCAGGTGGTAAGGGGAAGGCAACAACACATACGCCACACTGCCCCTCAACACGGGAGCCCCTCAGGGGTGTGTGCTTAGTCCCCTCCTGTACTCCCTGTTCACCCACGACTGTATGGGCGTACATGACTCCAACACCATCATTAAGTTTGATGAAGACACGACGTAGTTGGCCTGATCACTGACAACGATGAGACAGCCTATAGGGAGAAGGTCAGTGACCTGACAGTGTGTTACCAGGACAACAACCTCTCCCTCAGTGTCAGCAAGACAAGCTGATCGTGAACTACAGGAAATGGAGGGGCGAGCACACCCACATCCAAATCGACAGGGCTGCAGTGGAGCGGGTCAAAAGCTTCAAGTTCCTCGGTATCCATATCACAAAGGAATTATCACACACCAACACAGTCGTGAAGATGGCATGACAAAGCCTCTTCCCCCTCAGGAGGCTGCATCATTCTACAACTGTACCATTGAGAGCATCTTGACTGGCTGCATCACTGCTTGTATGGCAACTGTTTGGCATCCGACCGCAAGGCGCTACAGAGGGTAGTGCATACGGCCAAGTACATCTGCATACCGGGCAGTGTCAAAGGAAGGCCCTAAAAATTAAAGACTCCAGCCAACCAAGTCATAGACTGTTCTCTCTGCTACCGCACGGCAAGCGGTACCGATGCACCAAGTCTGGAACCAACAGGATCCTGAACAGATTTTACCCCCAAGCCATAAGACTGCTAAATGGTTAGTTAGATAGTTAACCAATAGCTACCCGGACTATCTGCATTGACCCTTTTTGCACTAACTCTTTTGACTCATCACATACTCTGCTGCTACTGTTTATTATATATCCTGTTGTCTAGTCACTTTATCCCTACCTATATGTAAATATCTGTCTATGAACAGCGCCGGAGAAGATGGCTGCCGTTTTACAGCCCTCTAACCATTTGTTCTATTATGTGTGTTTTTCCGCGTTATTTGTAATTTATTTTGTACATAATGTTTCTGCCATCGTCTCTTATAACCAAAAAGAGCTTCTGGATATCAGGACAGCGATTACTCACCTCGTATTGGACGAAGATTTTTTCTTCAACGAGGCGGCCGCGAAGGATATCATACAGACACCCGACAAGGCCCAAATCCCCGTCATTCGTGTGAGGAAGAGACGGAGATATCGTGGACGTAGATCGGGGT